GGACGCAGAATCCACGTACCTGCCGTTATACCTGAAGCATTTCATCGCGGGCCCTGCTTTTAAGTAGAACAAGACATCCAGCATTTGCATCGGTTCATCAACGGCAGATGTGCATTGTCGCTTTGGATTTGTCGATTTGGAGTTGGAGGCTGTGCAGGTTTTGAGGAGGTTTGGACCACCGTACTTATATCTGTCCTGGTTTCTTAGTTTTTTTCACTTAGGCTGGCGTGTGGCAACCGCTTTCAGTTCAGTACGCAAATTCATAAGTGTGTGTGTGTGTGTTGGCTCTAGACAAACGCGTTTTTCTTTTGGGTCCCCAGCTCAATTCCATGCAGTCACACAGGCTGTGGTCAGCAGCGCTTTCCTTTTCAATCGTTTCCGACGGGATCGTTGGTGGTATGGCGTGCCTCTCCTTCTGCGTGGGCCGATGCTCTCACTTTCCGTGGTGTGCGCCACCAACTTTCCAGCTGCACAAGTTGCTGCGGGCACCGTGATCATCGCAGCGTCTTTGATCCTACAGATTCACGATTTTTTTTTTCGTGTTTCGGCGGAGGGTTATGCCACGAACCTCGAATCTAGGAAGGGCCATTTTTGAAGACACATGTTCCGTTGAGCCAAGGCGGTGTTGTCGATGTTGCTCTTGCTCATCAGTCTGACCCCATCAGTGGAGACTTTAGACGCCATGAAGGAATCGGAGGCTTTTCACGAGGTGATCTCCTTCCTTCTTCTGATGTTCATGGCCACTGCACTTTTGGTGGTGCTTGGAGTTCTGAGCTTTGCTGTGGTAGACCATGTTCTTCGGAAGAAGCGGGTGGAATACGCGTTTCTTAACCTGAGCCGTTTGCAATCTCATTTGGTCTCGCAGATGTTGAGAGACACGGCCGCTGAGTTGATGAACACTCCACAAGAGTTGATGGAGAAAGGTGAGGATTTGTTGTGGTTGAAAGGTGATTATGAGTCAGTGTATTTGTGTGTATTTGGGCTCTCTGAGCACCTGGAGGTGTCACCAATTGTTTTTGAATTTGTGACTTGACATTGGTTTGCATCTAATTTTTGAGTGATCCAAAAGGAGGCCCAACTGAATTCCCAGCATCCAGTCGTCTTCACCCCTGGAGGCTTTGGCAGGTTGAACCCCATGGACTTGGAACGCATCCACTTTTGCATCGGACTGATCTCCCTGGAGCTCCTGGACGACACTCGGAGCAGTCGCCTGAATCGGATCAAAGCCCAGCGCGCGACCCGCGCGACCCGCTTGAGCCTGACCTTCGGCGACGGGGGAGCCTCGACCGCCGCGGTGGCGAAGATGGAGAACTGGGAGGGCGTCGAGGCCGCCTGTGACGTGGAGGTGCCGAGCGAGAACCACGCCGCGTTGGCTCCGAGTGTCCCCGGTGACGTGGAGAAGGTTGTGATTGGCCTTTGAGGTGTCACAGGGTCGACCGGAGCGAAGACGATGCGGCAGGTTCGAAAAGGAATCACGGTAGACCATTTGAGTGAGTGCAAATCACCAAGCAATTTCCCAAGGAAATGCTTGGTCTTGCCCGTAGCAATTTCCAAAAGGAAATGCTGGGGCTTGACCCTTGACCAACAGAAATCTGACTTTGGTCAGATTGGCTTTGTCATGCTTTGTCCACTTCTTAGCAAATTGCGCAGTGCTGGCACTGCCATTTGATCATTTGATCGAACCACTGCCAACCAGCCCAGTTCCGGAACTTGGCCTCACGCGACTCAAAGGTGTGTGCCATCGACCCAGACAGCGCCGCTGTTTGGGTCCAACGGTCAACGCCTCGGCTGGGCCGTTCTGGTCTCGCCGATTCGCTGGTCGTCACTTGGTTCGGCCACCGAAGAACTGCGCCAGTTCGTGCGCACCGAACTGAGCCGGCTCGTGTTTTCAGTGGCTCAACGGAATAGACTGGTTCAGGACATGTCCGAACGAGTGGAGAGTCTGGAGGGTCATCTGCCTCAGATACTCTCAGGTTTGCGCTTCGTTCTCTTTTTGCCGGGATGCACATGAAAGCTAGGCTTTCTGGGTTGAATCTTTCATGTAGAAAGTTGAATCCTTTGTTTTCATTCCATGAGTTTAAGCAGTTCCTGGAAAGCGGGCGACTGAAACTGCTGAGGGTTGATCCAAACACCCAGTGAGATCTTGAACTCTGATTCACGTGGGCCACATTTTTGATCACAGGATTTGCAAAAGCTGCGCAGCACACATACATACTGACACTGTGACAAGGACCGTTGTTTATGTACAGCAAAGAACATGTATTGCATGGCTGAGAAGCAGTCAACTGGAGGATCAGCTGAGAGCACGTGGATGACTTGGTTGTTACGATTGTTGTTACGATTGACCATCTCAAAGATAGATGTGGCAAGCTAGATGGACCTTAAGCTATCCGGCCAGACTCACAACAGGCATCACGTGGCACCATCAAAGCCCTCCAGGAAAGCACCCTGAAACAGGATATGTCTCAGATTTGGTCCAAGCACAAGACAACTGGCTTCAACACATCGAATGCGGAGAAGAACCATGGTGTGACTTGCTGATGTAACTGGCGATGTCATGCCAGGCGACAAGTGGGACAAGCTTTTTTTTGTTTTTGTCCTTCTTCTTTGACGGGATACAGGATACTAAAGCTCTATATAAGCTTCTTCTGGACAGTATTTCGTGTGCCACATGTTCATTTTGAGCTTCATGTATCTTTTTCTCTAAGGATTTTGAGCTTCATGTCATCACCAATCCCCGGATCCCCCAAACACCGTCTCATCTTCCAGGGCTGTGGCCGGGACTCGGAGACGCGGCTTTGCTGTCCCACCTGCATCGAGCGCGGGGCCGAGACAAGCGATGACGGGGCGTAGGGCGTTGAGCATCGCCCCTTGGGGCGGAAGCTTTCGGTGATGGACCTTTTTCTTCATATGAGTTGGTTTGCAAGTGCGGCAAGTATGTACAAGACTATACAGGGATGTAGCTGGCAGTCCTACCGAGTAAGATTTCTCTGACTTGCTGAGCAAGGTGGGGTTGGAGTTGGCCATTCGGCAGTCTATTGACAATGATTGTGATCCACACACACGCTCTTTTGATATTGTCATGCTTTCTTGATGTTGTCGCTAGTCTTATATGCATTCTTTCGATTTGCTGCTCACCCGACTGCCAAAGCCTTCCAGGTTTGGCCAAACCTCCTTCTTCTGTGGCCAGGCGGTCGCCCTCCGCGGTCCTCGCCCGTTCGCCGACCGGAGTCGTCCGACGTGTTCGCCTGGCCGCGAAGCGGTTTGGCTCGTGGATCCGGCGGACCGCGTCGGTGGACCGGCATGGCGGTGCAGTCGAAGGAGATGGCTTACACCATGGAGTATCCTCCAGAAAAGCTGAAGTTCACGGAGCACTTCTCCTCCTTGTGTCGCAGAGATATTGTCCGAAAATTGACAGGGAACCTGTAGGAGAGGGTGCCTGGGTTTGGGTTCCATGTTACTTTTCGATGTTGTAGCTGGACATTTTGATAGTGAACTTTTTGGACGACCCGGAAGCTCAAAAGATATGGCATCAGTTTCTCACCTTGCAACTCTCATGGGTCTTACATCCTTCAGATCAAACTCGGACCCCTTGGACCCATGATGTGGGATATCATTTGCACAAAACATCTGAACCCGATGGGTTCAGAATGCCTTTGGAAGAATTGTTTTTTCGGTCCAAACCGGTCTCGTGGTGGTTTCGATGTCGGGCGACCACGGATCGGAAGAGACCGGGGGGCTCCCCGAGGTTGTTCAGCGGCGACCTGGGATTGACGCTTTTGGAGCTGGGAAGTTTGGGATCTCTGGTGGCGGCCGCCTTTCTGGTTCCTCCAGAGAAGGCCAACGTGAAGGGATCTTGGACTTTGAAAGAGTTGGCAGGCTTTCTCTGTGCAAAAGCCGTAGCTGAGTGGTGCTCTGGATTGTTTTTCTATTTTTATTTTCTCACTCTATATAACTATATACAATATATACAGTATACATCTCTCTACATATAGTATATATTATGTGTATATATAATATATATATATATATATTTGGAATTGTTATCCAAGTTGACTATGATATATCTATTCTGGGATGGTTTCAAGGATTGAATCAACAATCAGGTAGTGACACGACTCTACAATACCTATTTTGAGGCGATTTTCTTCAGCTTTCCTCAGTTCCGCACTCAACCCTCCCGAGAACACGCTTTGAAGAACAAGAAAGACCTGTGTGGACGTGACATGAAAGAGCTCCAGACCATCCTCTACCACGACAGGCTGTCCCATCTCGTCTTCCCCGAATCACTTCAGATTCCGAACAGTGACCCCGTGTGTCAGCTGTTTTAGGAACTGTGTCAGCTGTTTTAGGAACGCTCTTTAAAGTCTTTGAAGAGTCAGATGAAATTGGAACTCATTCTGTTGAACATACACGAGCCAGGTTGACCTTGATCAGCCAGTTTGCATTCAATGTCGGGCTCTACTATGCCATTTCTGGCTATTATCCTATGGCACAAGAAGTGGTGGCACCCCTCCGTGAGCGTGTCGTGCGAGTGGTGGCGAATCACTACATCCTCTCCTTCGGCATGTACTGGATGCACCGTGCATTGCATGTGGTGCCCTGGCTTTGGGACAAGATCCACTCATACCACCACTGGGCCAAGCATCCGCTGTCACGCAACACCTATGATGATCACTGGTTGGACAACCTGGGGAACGCGGTGATTGGTCACTTCTGTGCTCAGATCCTCTTGCCACTAGACCGCGGCAGCTTTTGGTTCTCTCATTTGATTCGGATCTTTGAGAGTCTGGAAAAGCACTCGGGCGTGAGCTGTGGATTCAACCTGGCCCACCAGCTGCAGAGGGTGTTGCCATTTGCTCAGATGCCCCATCACCATGACTGGCATCATGAAGGCCACAAAGGTTGCAACTATACCTTTACCTCCATCGGCGGCTTGTGGGATTGTGTCTTCGGCACGCGAAAGGTGGGCCGTGCACCCGAGATTCTATCGTCCCAGACCACTTTGATGGATCGAGTGCAGGGAAAGAAGGCAGGCCGTTCTAAGAGCTTGTTGGATCATCCAGTGGTTGTCATGACACCGGTCGTTTCGGTCGCTGCGTTGGCCTTTGCGAAACTTCATCGGGAGAACTATTCCTTGGCCAAGTGAGAAGAAGATTCTTGGCCAAGAAGAGTCTTAAGAGGCTTTCGCTTGGGAACATTTCTCAGATTTTCGCCACAACTGGCCTGCCACGTTGGCATGTCGTGAACAGGTCGACCCTAAAGGGTGTGGAGAGCCGACGGAGCAACCTCGGGCCAGAATTTGGGTTTATTCCTCGCAAACGAGGTTGCATGCCATTGTATAGCTCAGCTCACCTTTTGAGAATCAAAGACCCAGAGACCGATTGCGCATGCTCCTCAAGCCAGACGGCCAGACACCGGCAGACACGTGTTGAAGTGGGATGGGTCAGATGCTTTCACATCTTCATGCCCCATCTTCTCCAGCCGAGCCAGTGGAGCGGGGTCCATTCTTCGTTTGCCAGGAATGCTTCACGAAGAACTGGGCCCAGCATAGCCAGGTGCACGAGTCCTTGAGGACGGCAGAACGGTCCGGTCCGGTCGGTTCCGGAGACTTTTCGCCGGTCCGGTCGGTTGGTCCGGCCGGTGTGTCCACACATGATGATGGGATCATGTCGCTGGGATGTTTGGGTTTTTTTTTCTTTTCGGATCATCACTTGGTTGTTGCGATCAGACTTGCTTGCAGTGATTTCTCTTGGAATTCCTGCCCATATCACCAGAGGGACTTCCCAACCTCGCGGCCTCGCTGCCTGATCAAGGCATTGTGCCTTATTTCTACATGGGCCTTTGTGGCTCCAACTCCATGGAACTGGGGAAAAAAGAGAATGGAGATGTGATGCAGCGATTTGAGTGGTGAACAAGAACATCTTCCTATTCTTTCTGGACTTCAAGGACCATTCCCACCATCAGTCATTTAGCAAAGACTCCCTCAGACAAAACTCAGGGGGAGCAAGCAGTGCAGTTTACTCAGAAGACAGAGAGCAAGTACCGAAGTGCAGAAGCGGTGTGAAGACCGTTTGGCATTTCCACCCTTTCTCATCTCCGCTTTTGAACCGAATCAGACGGTTTGGCCTGAGTCTGCAGAAAACCGCTGTAGTTGCATCATCATCCGCGACTTCGCGACGTGATGATCCAACATGGCTATGCGGCGACGCGGCCGGGACAGCAGGCTTGGGCACCAACCTTTCAGGTGGGATTCTCAAAGGAAACCAGTGGACAGGCAGAGCGAGAAGAGCAAGCAACACATGGTGGTAGGAAACCTGCACCAGAAAACACTGATTTCCAGTTGTCAGTTGTCGGCAAATTTGACTTCACTGCCTCAGACAGTTGTCGGATATTGTTGGATATTTTTAAGATTTGGATACAATAGTTTCAGAGTAGATGGCGGCGCATCTGGGATAGAGTAGAGTATATGGTTTCAGGGATAAGGTGGTTTATATGGACCCCCACATTAAAGACATTTGGGTTTGTGCCATCAGTGCCATCTATTCTGAAACCACTGTAGTTTGTTGAAGTCTGGTCTCTCCTGCGGGACGTCGTCAGCCCAGGTCTCCCCGCAGCCCAGGCGCGGGTGCGCGAGTGGGCACGAGTGGGCAACTAAAGTGCGAGGGTGTTTCTTTTGTTCACATCCGTCGATTAGTACAAAAGGAAAGTCCAGAGCTCCATCAAAGTCTGAGACGACCTGAAGTGGCTTTCAGTGGGCCGAACCAGTTTGCACAAGAATCGTGAGCAGACGAATCAGTTGGGGACCTAATGTCTCGAACTCCAACTTCGAGCGATTGGTGAGGATCCGCAGACCAAGGTGAAAAGCAGGTCGCAGACCATTGGGTGCACTCTTTCGAAGCAGCTTGTTCCGTCCGGGTGGGTTTCTTGGTAGGTCTGGAGGTCTACAGAGGTCTGTTGACCAACGTTCGATCGGGCGACGATGGGGGGAGCCGATCGAGTTCCTTCGACCACCCCGTCGCCAGACCTGAGTTCTTCGGTTTCGTCGGGTCTGCGTGAGACTCGGATCTGAGTGACACCCAAACTGGGAACTTTTTTTTAAAGTTACTGTATACTGTTGAGTCCAATGGCACTCTTGCCTGGAACAGTGGCACCGTGAGGAGGGACAGCAGACTTGGAGTTCTACATGGGGGGGAGCCATGAAACCATACAGCCAGCAGGACAGCCTCCCGTGGCATGTTTCAACCGCTTGGTGTCGGAGTGGGCGGCATCTCTCTGGCCAGGCCCGCCTTCGCGCGACCATGTCAAGTGCGGCCAGGTAGGACCGGCACATGGTGGGGAGGTTTGGGCAGCGTAGGAGTAGTGCTCCAAGTATTCCCGCAGTATCACGTAGTATTCCCAGCGTTTGTTGAGACCCAACTCCCGCAGTTTTGGGCCGAAAATGGAGTGAGGAGGCTACGAGGGAAACCCTCATTGGGGTCCGAAAAATCAACCTCAGGGCATAGGCATAAGGTCTGTTTGATTGGTCATACATGCCTTACAATCAACCTCAAGGTCTCCAAAGACTGGGCATGGTAAGGCCGAACACCACGTGGAAGCGCCAGCTTCTCCCCACATGGGCCCAGCCCATGTCAATTGGATGACCATGAATGAGCTGCGCTTGCCATGATGAAACACTTGAGAAGGCAATTTCTGTGAACTATCTGAAGCGGATTAAACAGAACTTGGAGGTTTTCTGTTCATGCTGTGCATGCTCATATGAGTACCAGCAATAATGAGGCATCACAGTTCACAGTTACTTCAACCATATCATAGAACCTCTTTGGCTGCTTGCTCTTCACGGGAATGATGCTGAAAGTCCCACCCATGTGCCCCCCATATTCATGAGACACCCCTTTTCCGTTGCCCGGTTTCGGAGGTGCTGTGCTCAGACCGATGCCGGCACCGACGCTGTTTGTGACCTCAGGTGAGTAAAACTAAACGAAGAAAGACGTGTTTGGAGAGTCTTTGAAGTAAGTCATGACCGTCATGACCCCAACTCTCTTTATCAAAATCTGCTTGACTCTCTGAGTTTTTTTGTCAGGCCGAATCTTGCTTGTTCATTTGCGTTGGGTGACCGCTCCCTGCATCGCTCCCTGCATCGTGGCAGGTGCCACGGCTGCGGCAGCTGTGGCGGGGCCGGGGCCTGCGGCACCGGTGTCGGTGTTGGGGCCTTGCGGGGTGATCACAAGCGTGGAAGCCCAGGGGCAAAGGAAGAAAGTGGAAAAATGGAAGATTCCCAAACCTTGATAGACTCGAAGCAGAGGAAGCAACGACCATCCCAGACCCTCAATCATCCGCGGAAAATCCAGATTCATGCGCATGATGGGCCAGTGAAAGGCATCCGTTGCCGGCCAAAACACGGCACATCTTGTGGCAGGCACTTTAGGGTATTTTTGTGAAATATCTTGATATGTAGTGACATGTGCTGAGCGGTTGATTGGGCAGCACAGTGGCTCGAATGCCAATTTTTCAAACCCACAGCCACCAGTGAGCGCTTGGCTGGTTGCTGCAATGAAGCTCGCATCCAGCCTGGCCACTCCATGTGGGAGCTCACGAAATACCAACCCAAAGCCTGAGAGGAAGGACAAAAAGAATGAGACCGAGTGAGCTTAGCGCAGCAAGCATTTTTGGCAAGATCATGCATTCGAGCACGATCGAACATGTCTTGCCCTTTTCTGATGTCAATCTTCCTACAGAGAAAACATATGATGAACAAGTAAAAATAGATAACAACAGTCAGAAAAGATGAGCTCTTAAAACATGTTATACTCTTATCTATCTTCACCACTAAGAAAACAGGGAACTACCTTAAGATTCAACAAGAACGGTGGATGAAGACAGTAGCAAAACACAAGTAAACTGTGAGGACGGATCAACGTTCCAGTCGGCAGTTCCAGTCCGCGACACAGGGACACCAGCAAACTAAGGCAGGGACACCTACCCACCCATCCATTCACCCACTTTCCAAGCAAAAGCTTTGATAGACCCAGTGGGACGCTTTTCGTTTTCGCCCAGCGTGCCATCCGTCCAGGTGGGCCCAGGGAGCTGTTGGTTGCGCGGGACTTGGTGCAGAAGCAGCGTGCTGAACCGGAGGGGGCTCCCGCGCGAACGCTCGGTGGGTCGCTCGGTCGGTGTCTTGACCGGTCGGATGCGTGCGAAAGCTCGGTCGGTGCTGAGGTGCTGTGTGTGTTTGCGCGGTCTCTTTGGACACAGCGGAAACACCAATCGGAGCACACACACATCATGCAGCCCAGTTTTTCGATTTCAGCCCCTCCAAACAACACCCGCTCACACGCCAATCCCAATGTCACAGCGACATTCACCTCTATGAGAGTTCTTGTTGAACACCTTGCCTTTCTCACAAATTTGGGACTCACACTTGTACCAACACTAGATCAACACCTGGATTGAAAACCTCCAAAAGCTTCGACTTTTGATCCAACAAAAGCTTTCAGTCTTTGCGTGGAGATTGGTGCCGAACCAGTCCCGCCCGGTGAGCCCTTGACCGAACGTGCAAGAACAAGTGCGAACCAGTCTGACGGCTTGGAAAGGCCCAAACAATCCTCACCGTTCTACAAGGGTTGCCCACACGGGTCCGGAAGCGAAGGCAGAAAACGGCCGGCCGCAGGGCGGAGCGCCCTCCGCTTTGCATTTAACAGAACAGGTCCATTCAAAGTCCAACAGTCTGTGGCATCAACTATTTTACTACCGATGTTTCTACGTGCCTTTGATTGCAGCCCAAGCACCAAAAAGCCATGCGGACCACTAAGTGTGACTGTGTTTCATGTTTCGTGCAGGATCAGCGTGACCAAGCCTACCAATGCTGGATCCAGGCCCTGGCTGCCGCTGGGCGCCAGAATTTCAGATCCCTCAAATGAGAGCCGGAAGTTGAACACTTTTTCAAGCGCCAAAAACAGAGATTTCAGGGAGACCACCGACTCGCACCTAGTCTTCCTCCATCTGAATACTTTTTGACACTCGATTGCGCGGCTCTTTTTGGGAACCCACGTTGGTCGCAAGACGGATATTTTCAGCTCTGCACTGGCTCGCCTCGGTCTTGGTCCTCCGGGTGGTTTTTGTTCTCTTTGAGAGCTGAACAAAAAACAGGATGGCTCCAGATGGCGCAGATTCCACGGATCGGTCGACGTGACCTGGACCAGCTGCCACGACGTCTTCACATGTAGGGAAACCTCCCAGGCGTCCCGACCCCCTGGAAGAAGGGGAAATAGACCAGTCTACCCTCTTGGCCGGGTGTTGCTCCTAGTAGTAACGCCAGGAGCCCCTAGTAGCGTCCTTGCTCCTAGTAGTCTCCCTATTTAAAATACACACTCACATCTCCCCCCTCACGACCGTCTTCCCCCGTGCATGCTTCCGCCGTAGACGCTTCGGCTTTGAGACTCGGACCGAGCGATTTCCACCGGGGTAGCGGTAGCCGGTAGAGAGCTTTTTCTCGTGGGTGGCGATGGTGAAGGGCAAAGGAAAGAGCGGTGGCAAGAGCAAGGGGAGCTATGGAGGTGGGGGGCCGCTGGGTTTGGAATCAGACACAGCAAAAGTCTGGCAGGTGTCCCTTACGTTCCTTCTTGGGACTTTTTTTCGATGTCACTGTCCACTTTTAACAAATCAAAGCAAGTCATCTAGTTCTCTTTTTTGACTGGTTGATGCAAAGGTCCCAACCTCACTTCCAAAGCCTGCAGGCTACAAGGTGAGAACCAGCTTTTTGAAGAGAGATAGCCCGGTGGCATGGAGAGACTCCAAAGGAAAAGGGAAGGGCGGAGGGAGACTTGGAGATTTCATGGTCAGATTTTGGGTCAATGATTCTTTTTGTTCGTTTTGTCCCGGTTTTGCTTTGATTTTCGGCCCATGTAGCCCGGAAAAGGAAGATTTCGGAGGTAAGTGAGTCCGTAACCTGTTGAAAGCAGACCGTAAGCTTCCCCCAGGAGCAATCCATGACGGATTCCCCAGTTTGAGGGCTTGTTGCTGCCCACCCTTACTTCTCCTTTTCAGGCTCAGAAGTTCAGGCTTGTGTTGCCAAGAACTGTTAAAGGAAGTTTCCAAAAAGAGCATCGACTTCTGAAACCAACGAGACGAGACGAGGCGACAACGCGTTGTCCGCCGTTCAGGAAGTCCAGTCGCAAAGGCGACAACGGCGGCAAGTGGATTTGGGTGGAGTCCGAGACGCCCAGACAGCGTTCCTTCAGCAAAGGCGGAAAGAAGGGCGGCAAAGGAAAGTCCGGTAAAGGCAAAGGCAAGGGCAAGGGCAAAGGCGCGGATTTTTCTTGAGTTGTCGTCGCAGTGGTTCAACACCTGGGCCCCATCCAGCCAAAATGAACTATGTATGGAGCTGGAGGGAGAGGCTTTCAAACAGAATTACAATATAACCTATGAGGATCTTGGAGTGATGCCTGGTGTGGTGTTGTGATGTGATGTGTAGGGATTTGACGTGTTGCAATGTGATGTGGTGAAGTGTGGTGTGATGATATGTTGGTGTTTTGTGCTGTGGTGAGGGGTAGTGGTGGTGTGGTGTGTATAACACGGTGATCGCTCTAAGCACTTTTTACATTCTTCTCGAAACCTCCAGTTTCCTGTACATTTTCACTGAAGCTTCTATGTTTGGGTTTCTACTGTACTTTTTTGTACGTTTCTCTATATATCATATATCAATACATGATATGTACTTTTCTGCACTTTTCTCGAGAAACCTCCACTTGGCAGGATGCTTTGCTCAAAATCTGTGCTTTCCCACTTTTTTTGGTTAGACATCTCGAACTATAAGTGCTTTTGTGATGCAACATGCCTTGCAAAGAATGAAAAGGTCTTGATGTGTGGATTCACTCGGAGGATTTGTTATTTTTTCCCAGTGGATCTGCTTGCAACTCTGAAACACCGCCGCACATCCGTCTGAGGCAAGGGCAAGAGAAGGGCCGCAGCCTTGACAAGTGAGTTTTGGACCAAGAAGGTAGAAGAAGAGAGCCGGAAGGAACTTGGGGAATCCGCTTACCCAGGAACCTTGGATTATGGTAAACCCAAACAGCAAGAAAGAGAAGCAGCACTTCTATTTTTTCTAGAGGGGACCTTTCGGTCTCATTGTTTTGTTTTGTTCACTTATAGTGGGGGGTCAACCTCGTGAGCATAGCTGGTTGCCCAACGAAGAGACTGATATGGAGTCTGATCAACTCCACCTACCTGCTCCTTGGGCTGATGCATTCTGCAGTCGTGCATTTGTCGCTCGCCTCGACTCTTTTGGAGATCTTTGAAGTTCTTTCGGGTTTTCGAGACTTCCTTTCCTTTTCTTTTCATGTTGTGAGATGCCTCTCCACTTAACACTTACTACTTTCAGGTTTCATACTCCCTGGACACTTAGGTTTTTTAATTAGGCTGGTGAGTGGCAACCGCATCAGTTCCATACGCATTTCCAGAGTGTGTGCACCTTGGAATCAAAGGTTACCTGTTGGTTAGATGTCTCGTGGGCTCAACGAAGACAGCTCAAGTTTGCTGTGATATGCAATCTGGACGCAGATGACACGCACCTGTGAGCGGATGACAACCATTTATTTCCCCCTGAGCCGCGTGCCAAACTAGAACAAGACCTTTGGCCTTTGCACCCGTTTTGCACTCGACAGTTGGGTCTTTGGAGCATTGCACGTTCGGAGTCCCAACTTCGAACTTTACGACTTTAGAGTCATGATCGGACCGCCGTACACGATGGAAAAGTGGATTCAGTCTTGTGCTTTACTCTCCCGAACTAGTGGAAATCAAGTCACGCAGAATCCATGACAGTTTCCAGGCGGGCCCAACAAAACGCCAATCAGACAGTGGCAACCAAGTGGGGAGACTCACGTCCCGAAACGCGCCGATGTTGTTCTAACATAAGTGTCGCCTCGATGAACAAATATGATGTTGCGCGAAAAAGATTGAAAGAGTACAATGCGTACAAAAAGTATATTCGCAAGCAGTACAGCTTGTTGGTGGGTTTGCTGGTATGTTGCCTGCAATGTGTATCATGCAGGTGTATGTGGAACATGCGGGAACGTGCAACCTCTGAGGTGTTGTTATCTTATTGGCTGAAGGACAGTCTGGCAAGGCTTGTCTAGTTTTGAGACATACTGCGATGCACAGTCAAATTGTTATTTTTTTGGGTTTGCTCATAAATTGTTTAATTACTTTGTTTTTTGGATGGTGCCCGGCGCCCTGAACATTTCTCTCGGCTGTGGGGACTATTGTAATTGTAGGTTAGGAACAGGAGCTAACGACGACTGTATTTTTAAACAGTTGCTTTGCTCTTGCCCCTTACTGTACATGGACACCCATGATGAGGTGAGTGCTCTTCAACATTTTTGGCATTCTTTGCATTCTGTTCCACCAAACCGCCCTGACTCAAAAGACATCCATGCACCAATTCTGGGGCAGGATGGGCAGACCTAGGGAAGTCGCCGGACAGTAGTCGTTGGGAAAAACCTGAAGACAAAAAACACCTCTCAGCACTCAGGAGTCATCCAGCGCTACAACGTGAAGCAAGGATGGGGTCTGATTAAACCGGACAACCTGTCGGCTTTGCCAGCGCAAGTGAAGAAGAAGATCGCCGAAGCCGAGGCAAAGGTTGAGGAGAGTGGCAAAGAGGTGAAGGAAAAGGGCTTGATCTATTTCCGGAGCCTTGGACTATTCAGACGCAGATCACCTTCACCTTCTGGTTTCTTCCAATCCACCTTCCTACCCGGGAAAAACAGCGGGGTGGGAAGGCATATTCTTTGCGAACCCTACAGGGATCTTTGGGAAACTCCCTGTTGAAATACACACTTGACTTATTGTAGGTGTTTCTTTCTAGATTCTAATTGGTGTATTTTCTACTTGGCGGTTAGAAGCTGCGAATAGTACTGAGGGAAGATGGGCGATCAAGATATCTGCCTACAATAGGGTCTCCTGAAGCAGCCATCACATGCACCATCAATCACTTCCTACGTTTTCTGGATCTTTTCCTCCATGTCATTTCGATTTTCCAAAGGCAGATGTTTCATCCTTTTTTTCCAGCGTCCTATAAAACGAAATCAACAACACGTTTGTTAAACACGAAGTTCCGGCATCTGAAAAAACATGAGTCCATGAACAAAGCCCAACCCAGGAAGCCCGATGTGAATCACACCGATGGATTCAAGCTCACGGGGGAGACCTCCGTGACCTTCCGCGTCTATTTGGACGACAAGGGCGCCGGTGCGATGGACGTGTCCATGGCCTGAGGTGGAAGATGTGACCGTCGGTCTCCGACTTCCCGACTTCTTTGGTACGGGAAGTCTGTATCCGCATAGACACCAGGCACGCGAATGTGCTGGTTGGCAGATTTTTGGGGAGGTGAGGTTGAGAACTAAGTCGATCATGGCTTTGTGGGAGAGTCGAGCCTCTCAAGATCTTGTGGATTTGGTGATTTGGCATGACGAATTTGCGTTCAGCATCCCCCCACTGCCGGCTCAGCTCGTGTAGCTCCCTTGCAGAAGGTTGCAAGTGGAGTCATTTCCACACCTCGCACGGGGTTGCGCTCCAGCGCTTCCCGCAGTTTACTATGAAGGATCAATACGAATCGCCTGTGCAAAATGCATCTTTTCGCGCTGCAAGCAGCACAAGGATTTTGAGTAGGAAGGTGCAAACCTATTTTAAGACCACAGAAGCTTGAACTGGTATTGAAATATGGACAAGTTTCCAGAGTCCTTGAAACACACTCAGAGATGACATCGATGATTAAGTTTCAGCACCACCTTGCAACTTCCGGATGCGCCACGCGCGCGCGACCTATGCTTTGGGGGAGAATTTGTGCATGGGCACATTCTTGAATTGCGTATGCTACTTGCATGACCTCAACATGTGGATGCAACAGTAAGATCGCCTGATTGGACAGATCTGTGGTTCCAAATCGTTCCATCTCGGAGAAGGCTGCGGCTACCACACTCAGGTTTCCTTGGGGGGACTCCGGGGACTCAGTCGACGAAGCGTCTGCACACACCAAGCAGCGGCTTCCAACCACGAGCGAACGATCAAACAAGACTTGTAAGCTCTGACGATCAGTGGTGATCACACCGTCTTGAACACACCGTTCTGCTCAGAAACATGGCCCAGCAACCATCAAACATCATCAATCCATTTCCAGTTTCGACCGGATCCATCTCCGACCCTCCAACCCGAGGCCTGGGGCGTGCTGGAGGCCTTGCCGCTGGACCACCGCGGCGCGTTGCAGGTCTCTGCACCGTTCTGCCACGACTTCTTCGAGGACCGAGGACGCACGGAGCGAGCGACCGAAGGGACGAGTTCGGACAGATCTTCTGTGGCATCCTGTAGCTGAGTTTTTTGCTTGTTCTGCTTCTGGCCGAGCCGCAGGCACCTCATTTGCTGCCTTTCTTGAAGTCTCAGATCTTGGAGAAAGGTGACTGGACGAAAGAATTGAGGACACGGGGACAAGTGAAGAAATGGGAACTGTATATTGATTTATCAGTTAAAGACGAGCTGATGAGTTTCTTCATACTTGTTTGTCTCATTCCGAAACACCAAGGAGACGTTGTTGGCACGGATTTATCAGCCGAAATTGCTTCACCATGCAGCGGCAAGTAGCTCACGTCCAAGGTTTCGTCATCCATCCTTAGAACTTGGAAGGACTAGTGACTATATGAGTACTATATGCACAGATAGCGCCCGCACCCGCACCCGCCACACCAAATTTACAGAACCTAAACATATATACCTAAACGACTCTTGTGGTGAACCCAAAAAACAAGTAACATGAGCTGAGCAAGCTATATTTGGAGTGTGACTTAATCAAACATCTATGCAAAAAGAGCCACCCGGCAACTTGAGGAGGTGGACTTTCACACCGCTGCTTCGCCAGTCCTTTCCGTCCTCGTTCGCCTCAAATTCGCCTCAAATTCGCCTCAAATTCGCCTCCTTCGCTGCGTCAGGGAAGGCGACGCGGATCGAGGTAGAGGGCTGTGACGTGAGGCCTCAAGAGTTTTGGTGGTCTGCTTGGGCGACTTGGCGACGGGTCCTCCGTTCACGGTCCGTTTGGGGGGGGCTTTCTTTCGGTCGTGGCATGGGCGGCTTGATCCCCCCGTGGCATGGAGCGACAAAAACACACACACACACACAGTCAAGGGATGAAGAAGAGTGGAGGCTTGATCCTCCGGGATGGTTGAAAAAGCTCCCAAAAGCCCGTGACCGAGCATTCCGTTGAGAATGACATTGGGATTCGAGAGAAGAGAAGCCACTATGGGAACCAGCTTGGCAAATCTGTGTATCTTCACTTTCTGCAGCAGATGTCTCTTCTCCATGCGGGAGCAGTGGATAAAGTTGCTCTTGTTCCAATGGGCTCTGTACACGGTTCTTTCAAGATTTTTTGACCTCCTACTCTTTGCTTGGTTGCTCCAGAGAATCGCAGGGTCCCGTGGGCCCGTGGGGCGTCGCCCATCCCGCTGAGGAGAAATGGACGGAACATGAATTCGCAGGTCGCATCCAGTTGCACTTGCAGCAGCAGGACCTCCAGCAGGTCGCGGTGAGACCTTCGCTCCGCACTTCTTTGGGACCTTTGATCCGCTGAGTCCTAGATCCGCCCAAAAATCGAGATCCGCTGAGTTCCGAGATCGATCGGGGCACCGATCAACAGCCGAGCCACAGCAGAGCGCCCTGCGGCGCCCGGAGGACTTAGTGCAGAGTGCCCAGCGCCCGGCAGGGCTGATCTTGGCGGCGCATCCAGAGGCGCGCGCTCCGCGCGAGGCCGTCGGCTTGGACTCACTCCAAACGATATCTGTGGGTGGATCGTTGCCACATGGCAGTTGCTTCCACCTGGGCGGCCAACTCTGACTGCTTCTCGACCTCGCGTCGTGTTTTCGCCCGACCGGTTGAGTCGCCGTCCAACCGGTTGAGGTCACCAACGGTGGGCCTTGGCTGCCAATCCTACGGCATGTGCTCGCCAGCCGGGCCAAGGGCGGCCGATGTGTCTTTGCCACCTTCTACCGCCAGGAAGCGGAGGTGGCCGAGACGGGGAGGGGGAGTGTGGGGAGCCAGTGGCTGAAGCCGGGGAGCCAGGGGTTTTGCTTGGAGGTGGTTGATTGTTGACCTCGCCATCGAGCTACCAAATACATCCCAAAGCCTGACTCGCTCCCCCGAACTCCCCAACCCAGCTCTGGCATCAGCTGGAGTCCCCCGGGGGCGAACCCCCACCACCGCTCCTTAAGCCCGATGGGTGATGTTTCACGTCCGACGCGAGCCCGATGGAGTCGAGGCGTGCGTGCAGATCTGCCGCATGGAGAAGGTGCAGGCGGAGATCCGAGAGAATCCGCGCCTCGGCGGAGTCTCTCGGGACGGTCTGGCGGGACCGCGGGGACCGAAGCCGCCGGTGCCAGCGGTTTCTATTTTTTTTCTAGGGGGGAGGAAGCGGTGGAATGGTTGGGGGTGCAAGTAGTTGGGAACAACATGGACATTGTGGGGGGTTCAAATGGAATTCTGGGAACAACTGAAGGGAAAGGCATGACCCTACCCCTCTTCTGTGGATTGAAGCTCATTGGTTCGACGTGAGAGTTCCAGGGCCTCTCCCTCGAGCACGCCATGTGGAGGTGGCTCCTAGTTGCGGTGGCGACAGTGACTACGGTGGCAGAGAATTCCACCGATTCAATGGCAAAGGCCACAAGCCGCTTCCATCCATACTACTGGCCACATGCTGGACAAACTTGTTACTTCCGCTGCAGGGATGCAGGCTTTTGCTGCGGTGGGAGCGCTTCGTCCAATCAAATGATTTCCTGTGCACAAGCCTGTGTCATGAGAGCCCGGGGAACCCCTGAGAACGACTTGACTTCTGAAAAGGGCCTTTGCCAGAGGAACTCTGCCAGTGGCTGTTCAGTGACCGTGAACGAGATGTCCTATGACCTTTGCAGCACTTGCCATGACCTCACCTCCAACTGTCCACATGGCGTAGAAAGCTCTGCAGCGTGCAATTACGGTGCGCGGACATGGACGGAATATCTCATCGCCGGACAAGAGATAGTGAATGCACAGGGCTGCGATTGCGCATGGATACCCCATGACAACTGCGAGAGCAAGGACTTTTGTGCTCTGGCTTGCCGAAAGGCAAACCCCTGGGGTACCTGCGCCCCATAGGAAAGATGAATTAATTAAGGATGATTGGGAGATCGCATGTCAAGTTGTAAAGATTGTACAGTTGTGAAAACGCGCAGCCTCTCAGGTGCATCTCCGGTGCATCTCTGAGCATCACCAAAACCTTCCACGATCCGTTTGGAGCCACGGCGACAGAAGCTCGCACGGCGACGAAAAAGACATGAACAGACTCCGCCAAAACATGGGCTTTCGCTCGTTTTGGTTCGTGCTATAAAGAACAGCATGGTGGCGTGGCTTTCTCTCTGATCAGACTTGTGACTCATTCTCCAGCATCTCCAGGGTTCAATCCAGCCGTTTTTGCAGGTCCGTTGGGATCGTTCGGTGCATTGGCAGGTGCATCAGACTTTTGGGCCTTTTGGAGATGGCACTGTAGGTTAGACATTTGCCAAGGGATGTTTTGTTTACCTCCTTTATCATGTTTAGTTTACTTCAAGAGGTTCCTTGGTTTTTACCCATTTTCCGTTTCGGAGGACCTCTTGACGCGATCCAGCCCTGTCTGTGCCCAGGTTTTATGCCGGCCGCCCGGCAGACGAGGTGCTCGTGATGAAAGCTTGTGCTTTTGAGCAGAGGGGTTGGATCCTTGTAGCCACGTCCCAAGATCAATCAACTAACCCTCTCTGTTCAGTTCTTCAACCACCCCCCTTCAATTCGTTGTGGCGTGAACAAGATCCAGAACTAAGCCTAAACCAACAGGACACCATAGCTTGGGGAGGACTTGGGGCTCTTGCTATTGGATCCGTTTGGAGTTTTTACCCCGAACCACCAAGCACTGCAAGATGGCTGCACGGTGAACTGTGTCACCCTTCCAACTAACAGCCTTAGATTGAACACCAGCGACTCTCTGTGTTTTGCTTCAGGCCCCTTCGTTGCTTCGCGCGCCGCGTTCCGGCCTACGCATCACTGCATCGCTGGGATGCGTCGCTTCGCACCATCGCCTCGCGCGTAATGAGGTGGGCACCTTCCATCGCTTCGCGGTGCTTCTGGAGCCAGCGCGCTGAGCCAGGCGGGTATGGCCACTGGACGAAGTAGGTCGGCCCCCAAATTTGATAGATTGTTTAATTTCAGACTTATGGGGTGCAAGAGACTCCTGGAGTTATCTCCCCTGCAGAAGGCTTGATAGTTGCTTTTGGTGTGAGAAAAAAGTGTCAATGGGACGTTTCACACCAACATAGTGTCTCAAAGAAGATGTTCTGTTGTCAGCTGTGACTCAAATCAGCATAGTTGTCAGGTGTGAAAAGTACCGGACTCCTAGAAACTCCCTGTGCTTCACAGCCTTGGTATGTCTTCGCTTCTGGACTTCAGTCCCGTGTTCGGTTGACGGCTCACAGCTGCCCGCAGGTGCCGCCATCTCCGCTGCGAGAACCCAAAAACACCGTGGTCCTGTCGGGTGCAGTCGGGTTTTGGGAGTGGTGAGGGTTCCCCCCGTCGATGGATAGCTTGATTTGATCCCAAGCTTGGGGTTTGTCCCAAACCACAAATGCATGTTTTGCGTAGGAACCTCTGTGCCAGGATTTCTGATGTTCTTGGGTTCCTCCAGCAGCTCCAGGCAAACAATTTCTGATCCTGTTTCTTGTGTGCCTGTTTGTACGTCCGGCTTGGTGTGCCTTAAGATGATCTTTCTTCTCCAGAATTCAGGGGCAAAGTCACTACCCTTTGCCCCGGGCCAAAATTGCTCCCCTGAAGGAGGAGAAGATGCGCACGGTGACCATCCCCAAAACACCCACCATATAAATCCATATATCTCAGATTCATCATGTGGATGCCCAGGAGGAAGAAAGCGGAAGAAAGTGGCGCACAGGTGGAGAGCCCCAGAGCCACCGGAAAGAGTTTACGGCCTCAAAACCCCAAAAAGTCTCGACTTGTGGCGACTGGAAAAAGGCGAGGACTCGGAGGTGACCTTTTTGTCCTGAAGATGGTATACCCCACACAGGAAACTGCGTGTGTAGGCTTCCATCAGCATGAGTTGGTGGTTGGTCTTGGCACCCAAAGAACCGTTGGTTGGATCGGTCTCTTGATGTCTCGGTAGCATCGAGTCCTACCCGTACAGGATTTCTCAGAAAATCCGACTTGTTCCGGGTCACTTGGTGGTCACTCCCCAGTCCACCTCATGTGTTCCGGCCTTTCCTCGGCCGGAACCCAGGCGCCGAAAGCAAGGCGAACACGGGTGATGTCTTGGATTGAGGAGCCATGAGGAGCATAGGGACACAAGGATAATTAAGAGGTTGTTTGTAGTGCATGATAAAATCTGCAACCACATGATCAATCGCCGTCGAGCCATTTCATGTTCCAGTCGAATGAGGCAGCCTGGGACCAACTTTCTTTAGAAGGGGAGCCAAGGGATAGCGCCATTTTTGAGCATAGCCAGATTGATTGGGATTGCCTCAGTTTGAGACTTACCAGCTCATGTGGAAGACTTCTGCCTGCCAACCAAGAGCCTTAAGCAGGTGATGGTGACTGTCCTGGTTAAAACGAAGCTGTTGACACCACTACTTGCTCCGAAAGGTATGCCCGATCAACTTGCGCTTAGTTAATCCCCATGGTTTGATGCAGGACAAAACTCTGTTTGTTTCCGATCAGGGTGTTTCGGCCATGGCTCTTAGCTTGGAGGCCGGCCATCGCTCGTATGGGTCTTTCGGCCACCGCTATGGGTGTAGAGAACTTGATCCCTTGGGCTTAAAAAGCGATCCGAGTCGGTCACCCTTTCACTCACTGACGACTCCGTCTCACCGGACCCACGAGTCTCGGAGAGTCGAAGCCCGGGAGCAGTGGAAGGGTCCTTCAAAGGGGTGACGAAAAACCGTCCGCAAGTAGACCATCAGCATGGGAGAGTTGGCTGAATTTTGAATCCCTTTCCCAGACTGTTGACGGTTGATTCACCAAACCTTCCAAATTCGAGATAGGTTTTACTTCTGATCGGGGGGCTTGATGAATCACCCGTCAACATTCGCCATATGACTCGCACCTTTCTTGGTGCCTGAATGCCAGTCCGCGCAAGCACAGGCCACAGAAGCCGCCGCCACCGAAGGCGTGCCGCACGCGATCGCATGGAAAGCATGTTGGCATACACGTGTGACACAAAGAGGGGTTTCAAGCTGTCAGTAGTAAGATCATGTGCTGTTCTTGCCTACCTTTTTTCTTTTTTGAGGAAGCGGCGGTCCTTCACCAGTCATTAGCCGTCCCGGGGGGAACGCTGCAGGGGAAGCCTCGGCGTAGGCAGGTAGCGTGGGAAGCCTCGGTTTTCGCCTCGTGCGGCGCAGCGCAGGAGACGACCTACAGCGCCTACCCCCGAGGCATGGGTGCTCCCTTGCCTGGAGGGATGCCACTGGTGAAGAGCTTTGCATCTCAGGCGTGGAGAGTTTTGTCTTTCGGTGAGTAGATATAGAGCTTTGTAGAATTTTGTAGAATTGTTTGGTAGAGCTGTGTAGAGTTTTTCATGTTTCATCTCCAGTATGTGTTCTTTGCTTTTGCCCGGATGGGCTAGATGATGAAACCACATGTCTCCCTGTATTTCAGTGGGCTTGAACGGAATTCCAAGCGACGTTCCACCTGAAAGCGACGTCCCACCATATCACCCCTCTGTCGTTTGAAGTCTTTGCGGGGCGTTTCTCCAGAGAGTTTCGTCAACAAAGCTGCCTGCACGATCGGCAACAAAGCGATTGTTTTGGACTCGCAAGTGATCGGGATCATCAAATTGAGAGTCCTGACGAGTCAATCGTGATGCCAGCGAGCTTAGGGAATTTAGGTCTGATCTGAATCCACCCTCCGTCAGTTCCAAGGCTTCGGAGAGGAAGAAGCGGTCGAAAGAAAGACACAACATATACTGTATCCAAGAAAACCGGACACGACAGAAGTTGGTCACTCAGACTCCAAGATTCTGATGTATAGTTTGTATAGTGTGTGTTTCTTGTTTCTGTTTTCATTTGTTTTCTCCCAACGACTCTTCTGGGTGGTCGAGCGAACGGTGGAGCGAACGGGCGGTCGCCCCGCGCCAGGGGCTGTCGGCGCGTGCCGGTCTCGCCAAGAAGTCGGACGACGCTCCTCCGTCCGCGGTGGGGAGCGCGGCCGTCGGGGCGGGGAGGTGGGGGAGGTCGGGCATGGCGTGGATCGTTGGGAAAAACATCGATTCACTTGACTTGAATCATATGTACATATATATATGTATATGAGTTCAAAAAGAATTCAATTGGATTTGGGGACGTTTCAGTGATCACTGGATTTTCTTGAAGTAAAAGGACAAGGATTTGGGGCTTGTGGCATCGCTGGGCATTCGTAAGAGGGGGCACTCCTGCTCTAACTTCATTCATAAGAGGCTGCATTCATAGGATGACATCTTTACATAAACAAATTTGTGATCATTTTGTTCATGAAATCATTTTGTGATCTTGTTGATGTTCTCTTCCTTTGAGACCACGCCTGTTTGGTCAGAGGAGGACATGTGCTTTGACCCTTTGAATTGCAGGGTGAGAAGAAGTGGGGGGCTGCCCCCAAGCAACTGCATACCTCATAAAATATCATAAAGAACATCCCTTGTGGCTGCCATTGGACAAACTCAGTGTATCCTGATGCCTGTGAGGTCTTGAAACACGACCTGGTTCTAGTTCTAATTGGATGAGATGCATGTGAGACTTGCAGCAACACCAATACTACACTTTGTTTGCTTACAAGCGGAATGAATCAATGAAGACGTCCCTATCACAATCAGCACCGGTCTGTCCTGAAGATGCTGCACCCAGTTCATAAGCTTGACAGCTTGCAGGTGGCCACCACCGGAGGTGGGGGGGGAGAGAAGCGCCGATTTGGAGGAAACAGGAGGACCTTCCAGACGTGGACCGGATAGTTTTTGGTGTCCATGCTGAACATCAAACATCATCAAAAGAGATTCAAAAACCTATCACATCAAAAACATTCAAACACCTTGTGGCTGTTTTTTCCTTCACCACAAGTCTTCTGTCTGCTGGAGCGCTTTCTTCTCCTCCCTGAGGCATGTTCTCCTGGGTGGACCAGGCCAAGCAGATCTTCACCGGAACGGCACCGGCCAGGTGGGTGATGAGCGGTGACCGGCACCGGCCACGGGCATTGGGATCCTGCACCGGTGAGGGCGTTGGGTCGTTCTGTGGTTTCCGCGTGGGAGCATCGAGTCCCTTTTTTTCTACGCAAAGTTTCTGTTTTCGAGGAAGACCTCAGACAGAGCCCCTGAGTATCCAAAGGAGCAAACCCGCCGAAGCGACGCCAACTTCAGCAGTGCGAAGGCGAAGGCGACGTTTTAATAGGTTCCTTTTGGCGTGTCCCTCTTGGGAGGCCATTTCGGATTCCTCGAGGTGTCGACCGTTTCGACGTCGCAGAAAACGTGACGGCCTGACGGCTCGCAGCCAGTTACGGCGCCGAAGCAACACGCTTCTTTGGCGCGTTCCTTTTTCGGGTTTGATGAGGAACAATCCAATCCATCCAAATTCTAAGTTAGGTGGACGCCAAAGCAAATGCGAAGACAACCACAATCAACGTAAGGTGCTGACGAACAAAGACCCAAGCCTAGTGACCATATCATTTGCCCTGCTGGCGAGCTTCCAGCTAACCTCCAGCTAGCCTCCATGCTGCACCGGCATATCCATGCCCGACATATCGATGGCAGATCGGCCAGATAGGACGAGAACCTGTTCTTTTTCGCTCCGGACCTCAGACTTCTTCCCCACCGGAAAGCAGGTGTAAAGCATCACCCGAGCAACACACGTTGAGTCCGCGTCTCCCCGGTGCGGTGCGGTGAGTCCGTTGGATTCGCTTCATGGCGCCATGAGCGCTTCACCCGCCCCTTGGTGAAGCGGACGGCCCTTTTTGGGGGCGAAGTGGTGCGGCAGAGGGGTGGATTTCTGGGAGTGGAGTTGAGTTCAGGTGGGAGTGCTGAGTGCTGAGTGCTGATGTATTTTCTATTGTTTTTTTTTCAGGGTTCATGGTTCATGTTCAGCAAAGTCAGGGCCCCAAAAAAAGGGTTGGGATGCACGGTGAGAGATGCAGAGGGTCTCTTTTTTCGAACAGTGACAGGTGCATCGCTTCACCGGAAGTGGCCGAGATGTTCGGGGCTCGATGGGCATGCTTTGGAGACAATGCGATCTAGATGGTCCCTGGATGCAGCAACCAAAGCCTGAACTCCAAAGCAATCAATCTTCCATTTTCACACATTCATCTCGTGACGAACAAAGAGGAATTGTACTGTAGAACTTTGTTCCACTAGACTTCACAATCATCAGTCTCTCCATAACGTGAAGTTGTTTCACATCCATAGAGCCCCAGCTCCTTGAATGGAGCTTCGTCAACGTGAACCGTCTTCAGCTGCTTCGCGGGGCTGGTCAGGCCACCCTGGCCAGGCTCACCCGAAGACCCTGTCTCATGACCAACAAGCAACACCATGGCCAGCACATCATGGAGGTTTTGGTTTGATGTTCGGAGTATGAAGGACACTGTAGGAGGAACGATGAACCTGAGTCTTCAGTGCGATGCCAAAAAATAGGGCGCTGAAAAACCGTTGGGCTTTGAGCCCATTTCTTGGCTCTATCTGAAGGACTCAGCACTGCTATTGTTTTTAACGAGGTGAGAAATCGTTCCTTACACATCCCATCAATATCCAGCAACCCTCTCTTTTTTCCCGACCAACACCAAGGGTGAAAATGAGACCTCCAGCAATCCATCCACTGGATGAACAGACGACAAACAGCCGTCCAGTTTTAGAGAGTGAAGAATGAGACCTGGACCTCTCGTCTGTGACGTGGCCCAGGTCTCACGCCTAGTGGCCACGGCTCAGCTGGTGCGCACCGGGTGCCGCAAGTGCTGCAGCTGCTTGCAGGGCTCACCGGTCACTTCGCTGTAACGAGGGCGCTCAACTGAGGGCGTGGGTGACACCCCGTGTGGGGAAGTCGTGAAGAAGTGACACCTACCCGGTGAGATCTGGTACAGTCTGGTACCTGAAAAGCTAAAGGTGAGATGAGAAGCTTACGTGCTGAGCAGTGACCCCCGGCCTTTGAACTGGCCCAAGAGGTTTTCCCGTTTTCATTTGGTTTCCAGCAACGCCAAGCAAGGACGGTCGATGTCGAGGACCCCCGACCGGCGGTTTCTATCGGTACGTTCGGACGGTGTCCGTTCTCAAGGTGCTGTGCCTCATCATTACGCCCCTGGTCGTATTGATCTTCATCCTCATCGCCGTCTTCAATGTGGCTCGGACCACGGGCGGGTTATAAGGCGAACGAAAGGTGTTGCGCCGAAGGAGTGAACACCGACCTCGGGAGGTCGTAAAGGTGCAAAGGTCGGACTCGCCGTTTGTGTCGTGTTTGGGACGAGATCATCTCCCCACATTTGAGATCAACTTGGTAAACCATCTGGCATTGAATGAACCAAACCGTTTCAATTGGTGATCGTCTGAGATTAATTTCGCACCAACCTGAAGTTCTAAGGTCTGCTTGGCCCGCTTGTTGACGGCTCCTGGCGCAGTCCTTTTCAATGTGCTCCTGCTTTGGTTAGTGCTTCGGCTGGTCGTGAGGGCCACTTGGCACGATGGACATGGAAGATGGGCGAACTACGAAAGCCATGCTGAACATGATTTACTGCAGAACTCTTTTGCCTGAGAGGTGCAGTTCTCATGTTCTTGTCAAACTGCAGTTCTCCAATGTACTCCGACTGTGGCTTTTGGACGCCTAAGGCAGAATGTGTTTTGGAGGGCGGAAAGGACACGAGCGTACATCAGGGAGAGGACATCAAGTTGTAGTTGTAGATTGATACAGATGCTGCACGACCAACTTGGGCCCCTTTCATTTGCAGGGCAGTTGACCCGAACCAGAGCCGGATGAGCGGGAGTGGGGCACCAGCTTCTCTGACGACCGGGCGCCGGGGTGGGAGGTCTTGGTCTTCCCCGGCTCCATCCTCTTGTGGCGCCGCAACACAGAGGCCGCGCGGTTCGGCCAACGGGACGTCTCGAACAGCGGGGTGGAGTGGTCAACCTCCAGAATCCGATCCTGCTTGATCAACATTTTGGGAGACCAGATTCCAACATCCGAAATTCTCCTCACTTCCCCTTGGCCCTTGGCCCATCATCAGACCAAGACATCCAACTTTTGCATCCCAGCCATCCAAGACTTTCCCCTCCGAAACATCCATGCAAGACTGTCCCCATTTCGCCATGCATTTGTCCCGCTTCCTCCGAACGCCCCACGCTCCAACTCACGCCCCCCAACCGCCGCGCCGGCCGACACCGCCACCGCCGGCCCGTCAGCCGCGCCTGACGGGCCGCACGTTGATCGGGTCGGTTCCGAGAGGGGAGACCGGGGTCCGAGGGCCAGGCCGGACGAAGACGTGCCGAGGCCTCCTACCGTGCCGAGATGGCGAAGCAGTTCGCCAGTCACCTGGAGCACCTGCGCGGCTTCGTGGCCGAAGCCCTAGGCCGGACGGGAGACGGGCACCGGAGATGGGCACCGGAGACGGGCACCGTTGTGACATTTCCTGTATACAATTGATGACCTCAAGGTGCATATCCAAATACCTTGTAAGGACTTCCTGGTGAACAGTTGAGATGTGTCAACCTTGATGCCTTGCATTTTGCAACAGAGGCATCTCGCGAGAAAGCCTGTAATTTTGTAGTGCTCTTTATGCCAACAGCTTGCACCAAGATCATGTACCATGCGCGAAACATATCAAAGAAAAACGCCACAAGGCCTTATAGAATCAGGGGACCCGATGTCACTTTTCCTAATTTTCGGGCCCCAACCCCAGTGACCAACCCCTACTATCTCTTATTTATTTTCATTCACTTACAGTGATTCTCCAGGGGCATAACTAACCACAATAATTTTTACAGAACGGTTTTTTGACTATGCCACGCCTCATCATTTGTAAGGTCTCACTTCGTAATGACAGAGGTTGGGTCTGCAGGGAAGTGTTATAGAATGGTTGGCCCCGACATCACCGAAATCGTAACGACGATCCAGCAAGGGTTTTAGTTTTGGTCTTTGAAGCCTGGTGAAAGGTTGAAGACAGAGACCAGACATGATCAGACATGATTTTGTAGATTTCAATTGAGGTCGAGAATTTGGGAGGTGCAATTTGGGGATCTCAAAAGACATTTTGCTTGAAGAGTGGGTGTAGATTCTATCGGATTCTATCGCTGATTCAAATCCGAATGAGTCGATGATGATTCGATCCATTTCAAATTTTATATCAAACCGTGTGGTCAGGCGACCCTGATCGAAAGGCTATGAGTGCCACGTCCATTTGTACCACCTGTCGCCTATCACCTATCTCAATGCTAACAAGCTCTGAACTTCAAGCCAGTGTGGTTGGGTTCAAAGGTGATGGAAGGCACCAGATACGGCAATTTGGGCATTGGGTTCAGGAACAGTTTCTTGTGAGGAGGGCTAGAAAGAGGTTCCAGATGAGAAAGTCGGGCACATGCTTGAAAAAACATCCACAGTGTGACAGGGACATGCAACAATTGGCACCAAACGATGGAAAACCGAAGTTGGCTCAGCTCTCAAGTTGGCTCACTCCGCAGGATGGGAGCCAAAACCAAAACCAACAGCTGCTCGGTCGTCCGCTTCGGTTCAGGCAAAGGCCAAGGAGTGGCCACCCCGGTGCGGAGGCCCGGCGCGTGCGAGGCCTGGGGAGGCTCTTGTTGGGAAGTCAGTGGATCAAGGTGAAACTTTTATGGACTTCCAATTCAAACTCCGCCATGGACCTTCATGGATGCCCAAACCGTCCCCAGCATGCGCATGGAGCACGAAACCCGAGCCGAGGCGACCCTGGAGGGCACCTTGTTAGGCCTGATGGTGCGGAGCCTCGGAGTCTGTGCGGACGGGACGACCCCCAAAACGAGCATCGACTTGAAGCATTGGCCCCTTTGCTCCGTTCGTAGTGTCCGATCGCTCCTAGTAGTCGCCCCTAATAGCGAATATTGTTCCTATAGTAGCGATGCCAGGAGCCCCTAGTAGCGTCCTTGTTCCAACTGCAAACATCCTGTACTATGAGGTTGAAAACATCCTCCACATGGGAGAGGGTGGAGCCTTACCCTGGTATGATCAGTGTGTCACCCTGCTGCATCTCTTTGGACAAGTAAAATGTATTTTCCGACTCGTCCAATGCTGGGAGACATGCGGACAGGATTTGGTACATGCGGACAGGACTCGTCACATTCGTCGCGAAAAGACGAGGTCGAGATAGAACCCCCCGGCCTCCACCGAATCCACCGGTAACGACCCATCTGCTCTGCATCACCAGAAACCACGTCCTTCGATTGCAGGTGGTCGAGGGCTTGGCCCGGAACTTCCGGGTGCAGCAGAGAGATCAGGTGCGGCCGGCCTCCGTTCCGTGCGCTGCTCCGTGCGTTTGGCCGTGGTTGGCTGCGGGGGAACCTCCGTGGAGGCCTGCCATGTGTGTGAAGCCTGAGGCAGTGATCCAACCTGTGATGGTGGCAGAGACCTAGGTTGCTGCCACACTGTGGAACCTGAGATCCGAAAACGAATCCAGCCGCTACAACAATGGAACAGCAGAGATTTGACGAAACATGAAGTGGGTGGCGAATAGAAGGCTCAAACTGCAGCTGAGGCTTCTAGCTATGGGCAACCTTGCTTTCCACCACTGAAAATTAATTGAAAGGTTAGAAGGATCCAGCTTGCAGTTATGATATTCACATGCGGGCTGCTTGGTTGGTCGTGGAGTCGCGGAGTGTGCGGCACTTTTTGGGTTTTGTTCGTCAAACTTTGCGGTTCAGGTGAAATTCACCACTGAGCAGGTCCAGCTAAGAGGGCTGGTCCAGGCGTGAAACGACAGCGCGGCCTGACGTACGTCATTGTTTCAAAATCATCATTTTGATCATTCATTCAAACATTTTCAATAATATCTACTGGTACCATGATGCTTTTCATTTTTCCTGTACTTGTACTGTATGCAGAGCATTTCTTGTTTCGGACTGCTTGCCACCGTTTTGTTCGGACCGCCGACATCGGCTGAAATCGGCTTTTCGAGGCCGTGGAAGTCTGGCTGAGCCAAGCCAAGGTCCTGGACAGGCGTGGACCGAGTCAGTCGACCCAACGGAGAGAGTTGCCAGTGCTGTTGAGGTCTTTTCCGCAGCATGCACCACTATCAAACACTAGCAAACACTTATACGGTCTATCTTGAAGGTTCTTAGAAGCTTTTAAGGTCGTCATGCAACGGGTCTATGAATCAACTTGAAGCTTTTGAGGTCTTCAGTCTTCACAGTCTGCACAGAAACATGGTTTGCAATTGCTAGATACATGGTTTTCTTTTCTCGAGCGGCCCACCCCACCGTGAGGCGTGCCGAGATACCCCTGAATGACTGGCTGCAGCGCCATGTGCAGAATGTGGTGAAGGTCCCGCTGCGCTATGCAGTGAACAGTGCCCTGGGCCGGGAAAAACTGAACTGAAAAAACAAGTTACGACGTTATGATGCGCCACTGTCAGAGACTCGATTTTGCCCCGCTGAACATGCAAACTCCCCTCTTCTACCCAACAGCAGGGTGTGTGTCACATTCTCCAAACCAGCAAGGAAGGGATAGGCATTTGGTTGTGCACCTGTTTCCATAACCACGCATTATACATTTCGCACCGGCGCACCTCTTCTTTTTCAGTGGAACACTTGCTGGCCCTTCCCCCTTCTAAAAGCTCCTGCCACCCACGCGGGGCGCATGCCGCGCTCCGAGGTACTCCCTTGGTCTCGGAAGCCAAAGCGGAGGCCGAAGGCACCCTTCAGCGCCTGGAGCAGCTGCTTGGCTGATCTGTGGAGCCGCGGCTTGCATCGATGTGAGCGAGCTTGAAGGTGTGTTTCAATTTGGGGCTGTTGCTTGGTATGGCTCCAAGATGGATCAAGGTATACCAACAGTTGGTTTTTATTCTTTGTTTGGCGACGATCCGGCATTGGAATCTTTTATCTTCAAAGGCATACCGATGAACTTGGTTGCTTGTCTTCATTGTAGATCTGAACAACTTGTCATGCTTGCACCTTCAGTGGCCAAATTTGACTTCGAGCGTCTTCCCGCCGCTGATCCACTCACCAGCCCTTCCAGGCTTCTGCATATCTTCTACGATCTGCAGCGATCGCCGGACGGCCTTTGTGCCAGCACCAGGCCAGGGCCGGTATGCGCCCCGTGCGAAGAACGGGATGAATGAAACGACCTTCCGACCCTGCTTGTGGACCCCGAAAGCAAGGGTTGAGCTCTGGAACTTCATCCCGAGTTGTGTGCGGTGATTTCTTTTTCGCGGTGTTTCGTCAAAGAATCTCAGCTGGGCACTGGGAAGCTAAGCACCAGCCAGGTTTTTTGGGCAAAGTTTTCTCCCCTCTCTTGGCTTTTTGGGAACTCCTTTGGACCGAATGCCGCTTCATTCCGAACGCGATGGCCGCCAGGCGCTTTCTGCGGACGCCAGTGGTTGGATCGCTGAACCAGCTCAGGGCAGAGCTCCTGTTGCGCTACAGCGCACAGCACTACTGGGTGTGGACGCACAGCATGGCAGAGTTCGCCGGTGAAGGGGCGGAAAACGAGGATGAAAGGTGTGAAAAGTGGATAGAATGCAAGGAAAGACCACCCTCCTTTTTTTCCAAAGTTTGCAACTGTTTTGGGACTTCTCCATCGGTTCCCAGTTTGTTGGTCTACAAGTTACCAACAGCTATTCGTGGGGCTATGGAAGAAACCAAGAAATCGCACATGACACCAAGCATCACCAAGCCCAATATGGATCCTCCACGTGTTTTGTTTCTTTCCTTTCCTGGTCTATGTGGACTCTTCCTTGCCATCCCACTCGTCCAGTCCAGTCCACGCGCTCCGAGGTGCGCACCGGCGGCCGCAAGATCGACGCGGTGTTCATCTCCGCCAAGGGAGACCGTGGCGAAGCCCTGACCGAGGACGCGGACCGTGTCTTCCTTTGGCTAGTCTGGCGCGCGGTCTCCCCTGGTTTCTCTCGCGCGCGTTGGCACGAACGGCATGAAGGCGTAAACGGGTTGGATTCAGAGTCTCCACATCAGGCATTGGTTGGTGCGTAGGCAGCGTGCATGGCGTGCGCGTGGGTCACATGGTCTATTCAGGAGAGTCCCGACGCGAAGGAGGATGCTCCCTTGAAGGCAGGCTGGAAGAAACAAGTCATGTAGATTCTTATACTGTTTTGATGTAGAGACACTAGTTTTGGCATTGGTGCAGCAGATATTGCATGAGCTGGGCACTGTGGCAGTTCAATGTCGCTGTTCATTTATTTACAGTATATACATCCGGTTTAACCCTGACGACTTCGGCAGGATCTTTTTAGTTGCACGGTCCGACCAGAGGCAAGTTGCAAAGCATTTGTATTTCCTTGATTGCCCTTCTGATTCTTGTACTGTATTTGTTTGTTTACACCTTCGATGGGGTCCAAATCCGACCTAGTATTTCAAAGCTGCAGGCTTCTAGATCTCTCCAAGTCTCCATACAGTCTCCATTCTATATCGCTCAAAGGCGTTTCCTTCCCCTTTCCTTTCGCTTCGGGCGTGCACCACGAGAGTTGATCAACAGTTTTGGAAGCACTCTGCCAATCCACTGTGTTCAATTTCAATTCTCATTGCGACAGACAACATATCATATCAAAGCAAACTTGATTACTACGAATCTCCTGAAGTTTCTCTTCAGAAGGGAAAATGTGTCGAAGGCCAAGGCCGAGTGTCTATGTTCACACCTGGGACCACTCCTTGCTTGCTCCTTCCATGGCATTAGATTGCTCGATGTCGTTGGTTTAGGACCTCGAACCGCGTGGGCATGTGGTAGTTTGGTGCAACCCCAATGCCGCCTACTACGCACCTCGGCTGGGATTGCGGAAGGCATGACTCACACCGTTGAAGAGTGCCGGCCGCATCAGTCCAGGGTAGGCCTTTGGTCTTGATCATAAAATGCATCTCAGCATCTGTTTCAAAATGCGTTGGTCGTTTTCTGTGGATTGAGAGGTGGACCATGTACAGATCTCCGCTTAACCAGCGGTTGCCGTCGCGGGATCGGCGTTGCTGGATCGGCCGCACCAAAGGGGCATCTCAGGAGACCATGGCCTATGAATCCCATTGGTTGGACTTCTACCTCTCCCAGGTGTCCACTTCTTTTTTTCCTTTTCTGGGAGCGTTGCGAAGGGTTCTTCTGTACAAATCTTTTGCGTAACACATCTGCATCAATACAGTAGCTTTAAGTACACGTGCAGCTTGCATGTGTCGTCTTGTAGAGCTCGTGTGCGCGGGCGCGTGCTGTCTTCAGCCAAGATCCGGCTTTTTGGTGGAGCCAAGGAGGGACGGGCAAGACAGGAAGCCCGACAGTTTCAGGGAGTGAGAGGCAGCGATTGCAGGAAGAAAGGCTCTCGCCTTTGTGATGGACCATGGTCATCTCACACTTGATCCACGAGTTTTGTGTGTTCGACGTTTTTGGATAAATCAATTTTTCATGAAGGTCAATTCCCAAGATGTCCTTTCCTCAGATTTTAGCAGGGATGCTTTCAGCTCCATTGGTGCACTCTTCCTTCCAATGCATGAGCCAAAGAGACCCAGTAGAACTTGTTTGCCCTTCGAACTTGGAGGTTCTGAATTGGTCAGTTTCAATGGGATTTGGGACGAACGTCTCAAGCAGGAGCTGACCAACTCCAAACGTCTCAAGCATCGTCAGGGCTGCAGCATCTTCGTTTTTAACTACAGTGGATTTGGACGGTCCCAAGGGCATCCAAGTCCAGGTGCGTGGACACCGTTCGGGCGGGTTTCAGGGGCGGTTGTTCGGGCTGGGCACTGGGGTTGGAGATTTGGTGGCGCTGAAACAGCTTGGCGAGCTGGACATGAGATGTGCTCCCCCTCTGGTCTCCATGAACGAGAGAAGGCGGACATGAGAGCGTGGCGTTCAGAACACGGCAGAAGCCGGTGGCGAATCTGGAAGAGCAGCATTGGTCCGGTTTGCGAACAAGAAAGGAATCTCAAAGATCGACCTGAGGAGTCCGAAATCCGCTGGGACCCTCTACCAGAAACCCACATGTTTTCATATGGTACATGACACACGTGTGACACACGTGACACCGGTTGGACCAACTCCGCAGGGGGTGGGGAACTTTCACCACCGTCCTCAGGCCGCCTGAGCGCTGACGGCGATGCGGTGGTGGACTTCCTGCGGCGGAGGGGTTTCACTCAGGTCGACGCGAGCGACGCCGCGGAGAGTGGAGAACGGAGAGCGTTCGGGTCGTTCGGGTCGCGTGCCACCGCCACGTTGGGTGAATAGGGTGGGTTTGCTCCACTTGGGCGTGGGTTTGTCTTTGATTTTTCGGAGACATGGATGCATGATCAAAGGTAGTGTTGTTCTTGGAACACTACAGTTCCCTTGTCATGTTTCGCTCTTCACCATCACCTTTCATTGTTTCCACGTCTTCCTGAACTCAAGTAGTCATTGCGACTGTCCATTGCGACTCACTCTCCACCTCTTTGTGTCTTGGCACTATATTGTACATATATATATATATAGTATTCTGGTTCCCCATTGATAAAGACAATCTGCGCTACAACCACAGTTGGAATTCTCTCCCTACCCGGCCGTAGCCAGTCCTACCTTCGAATGACCAACAACTGGGCCCATTGGAAAGAGTTGAAGAGTTTCGTTCCTGCCCCACTTTCAGTATGATTCGCCCATCATTTCAAGCTGTTTCAACTTAGTTCATCGATTGACCTAGCAGATGAGTGGTCCGTGCTTTCACTCACCTGTCCATCTCCACGCCATGCAGGTGGCCGTGCATGGACGGTCAATTGGAGGCATTGCTGCTTGTCGTGCCTTGGTGGCAACTTGATAGTGCGGTCTTAGGAACCTGAGAAGCCCATATGAGGGGTTGTTGGGGGGGTGAGTTTGGCATAGTTTGGCAAATGTTTTTGTTGAAGACCGCTTCTGATGACCTTTCACCCAGCCAGTTTGGCGCACACAATGCGAAGCATGATTTGCCGTTCCAGTTCCAAGAAGAAAACGAAAGAAGCACATGGAAAGAAGAAAAAGAAGAAGAAGAAGAAGAAGGAGAAAAAGGAGAAGGAGAAGGAGAAGGAGCAGGAGAAGGAGAAGGAGAAGGAGAAGGAGGAGGAGGAACAAGCAGAAGAGGAGGAAAAAGAAGAGGAAGAAGAGGTTAACGCAGTGACATGACCACAGCGACGGAGTCGTTTCTCAGTTCTGATCTCCTTGCAATATATCAGGCATTTATGATTTACAGTAGTCACTCCTCAAGTCGTCGTCATATTTGTGCCCATGTGAGTGGTCATTGGAGTGGTCAAATAGACCTCCTTCCCAAACCGGCGACCAAAAAACGCGAAAAAAGAGCTAAAAAAGAGCGCCTTTCGACCGTGGCCCACGTGTTGCGTGAAACACGCCATCACCCTTCGCAGCCTCTGCCTGTACTTTGGACACTTCGACTTCTTCGCCTACTTCGACTTCTTCCTGTGTCTTTTTGAGTTTTCATTGTTTTTTTCCTCTTTGTCTGCCGGCTCGCGCTCTCTAAGGCATTGCCCGAAAGAATCCCGACATCGTGAAGGTGGGATGGCCGCCTTCGCACCGGTTACTCGCTTTTTTTTTTTTTTTTTTTTTTTTTTTTTCGCAGGTTGGACTCGATCGATTTGAGTGAGAACTCACTACACCGAGCAAGAACTCACTAGACGACTATAGACTATACCTGGGCCCCCGATTCGTGGTGTCTAAGGACATAGCTCCGAAAAGAGGTGATTCGGGGTGTCCATTGACCGCCCTTGGCACCGGGGGCCCAGGTCCTGGTCGCTGACCGTACCTTCTCAACCTTGGCCAAGGCGGGCGGGAAGGCGTCCGTGGAGGGCGAGGCGTCCGTCGAGACCTGATGATGTCACGTTGGTGAAACCGATGGAACCAACCGATGGAACCCCATCGATTTGTTCCATGGAAGGGACTTTGAAGGCATTGGAATGGAAGGTGAAGATCCCCGAGACAGGACGAATTGCTGGTTCTACGAATGGCAGACGTTTCGGACAGGGAAGCGCCGATGGGACGACCCTCGTCGGCTGAGCGGCCGCAGGCGGCGAAGTACACCTTTGGAGATTGGGCTGCCAAGGCAGAGAGCTCATGCTGCGAAACGTGGATCGGACTCTTCTTATTTTTGCAGAAAGTCTTGCTTGTTATTCGCTTCTCTTGGCTTGGCTTGGCTTGGCTTGGCGTCGTGTCGCGTCGCTTCTCTTCTCTTCCCTTCTCGACCTGATTAGACCAACTCTTGTTTTGCCTTTCTTTCTCGCTCTCTGCAACTTCTATAGAAGACCACAAGCAACACCTGCACAGCGTCATGGCACCTGAGGTCCGGAAGAAAGCTCCCCCTCCGTAAGAGGTCACAAGGGACACCTTTGGTCCAGGACATGAACCTACTCTGGTTGAAATTGGTGGACGTGGGGTGTTCTTTTGCTCCCCCTCCCCATCACAGTGTTTTTTCTTTTTTTTACAAAGTTGTTTTCACGAAGGGTTTGGGGTGGAGAGGTAGTTGACTAGGTACTGTAGACACACATGTGTTGGAGGCTAGCAGATTCACAATAGTTCTGGTAGTCAGTGGCGACTTCAGCAAAGCACGCCACGAGGCTCCCAAGTTTTTACTTTTTCTCCCACGCGCCCTGAACAGGGCTTGTCTTTGTCAGCCACTTGGGCGGACAATGTCTCCAACTATGTCAACACCAAGTGCTACAAGGTGATGCTGTGCGATCCCAAGGACAGGGTTTCAAGGTCTCCACCAATCACAGTTATTTTAGAATTTTAGTTTACATGTGACTTAACATCTGAAATTTTCATCACACAATTGGAGCAGATAGGCACGAAGAACACCCGTTCCGAATGTGGTGATACAGTGAGTCCACGTTTCAAAGTCCCCTGATGCGGCACAGTTGTTCATGGGAAGAAAACACCCGCACCGTGCGTGCGTCAACTTTGAAAGATATGCTATCGCACCATTTCTCGAAGGCATGACTTTGCTCTGAAACTTCAACAAGGTGTACTGAAAGGCACAACCCAAACCCCAATGGATGTTTTCGTGGGAAATAGAACCATCCCAGTGGATGTTTTATGCCTATATAATATATGCTATATATGTTTGAGAAGACTTCTACCAGGTGAACTGGCCGTATCTTGCCCGTACCAGGCATGAGACTTCTATTTCGTTCGTAGATCTTTGTTGGAGGCCATCGCTAGTAGGTTGGAGGCCATCGCTTCTAGGTTGGAGGCCATTCCTATCAGGAATTCACAGTCAGATCTTTTACCAATTCCTTTTCCGCTTCGATTCGCGCAGGACGCCACCATCCCGGACCTCGCTGCGCTGCGCACGGCAGTGGCCCAGAAGGTCTTGGAACAGGTGGACGGATGGGGACGGATTGGGACGGATGGGATGGTGTGTTGACTCGATCTTCACCGACATGCTGACACACATGTTCACAACTTGAGGGACTATGTGCTTTAAGAAAATCCTTTTTGGACTATGTGCTTTGAGATCGGGATGGATCCATGCAAGCTGCAAGCATTGACACTTGGAAGTCTCCCCTTCTCTGGGTTCCTCCAAGTGCGAGAGCCTTTCGAAGTTGGGGACGTCATGTCTTCCAACGTGAGGAACAACGGGACCCCCCTCCGACCACCTCGTGACCCGAGAGGTTCGGCGTTCGGCGTGGCCCAGGTGCCTTCCAGCGAGCGCTTTTCCTATGAGGCCCGGCCCGGGGCGAAGTGGGCGCTGCAACGGTGCCGGGAGCACCCGGTTGGCTCGAACGCAGCGCCCGGTGCGAACCATAGCTGGACAGGTGGACCACGGTAGCTTACTGTAACCACCGTAGCATGGCATCTATGGCTTGGACGTTTGTTTTCTTCATTTTCGGGTCCACTGTCTACCATATTTGGCCTATCTGGGGCTGCTGGATCTCCATCAGGATCTCAGAGCTCGACTACAAGAATTCTAAGAATCCTCAGCGTTCCAGTGTTTTCTTCCTGGGTTCGGGGTGTCCTATTGCCTTTACTAACCATTATCATCCTGGTATATGATAGGATAGGATAGACCCAACATATGGGTCATATGGGGGTGTATTCATATATATATATATATTAATCAACTGGGGAGAGCCCCCCGTGGCTCAACGACCCACGGCTTTTCAGGGCTTGGACCGCATGGCAGAAGCCTGGACCTTCTTCGAGGCGCCGCCCTTTGCGGTACGGATGCGGTGGTGGCAAGCCTGCGGGTGGGTGGTTCAGTTGCTGGTTCTGATGTTTGGGTGATAGTTGTGATCAAAGTCCGTGAATTTGGTGGCTTTAGCACTCCTTTCCACTCCCTGTTCGTTCCTCCAAGAGGGGATCAGGGCTCCCATTCTGGCAGCAGTGAAACACAAACATACAAGCAAGGGATGAAGCAAGCAAACATGCAAACAAAGCAAGCAAGTAAACCAACCAAGCAACCAACCACCAGGTCATGGATGGTTTCGCCACAGCTGCCGGCCGCGCTCCAGGTCCTGCTCTCCATTTGCGATGCCTGCGACGGCGGATGTGTTTGCCAACCGCCGCTTGGGCAAAAAGAGAGAGTTCCATCTCGCTCGTTCGTTTCCATCGCAGGTCCAATGTCTGAGTGCAGGTTGTAGGTTGAAAAGGTCTGGCAACAACGATGCTACGAAGAAAAGCTGCTTTCCACATGCAGCTTGGCAGGGAAAAAAGAACCCTCCCCTCCGTGCGCAGAAAGACTTGAACACCTACAGGTTTGCAGAAAAAAAACCACTGGGTATTCTACCCGCCCCTCCCCCGTCTCCAGTGGTCCATATACTGTTCCCTTCCTCCGTCGCTGGAGTCGTTGCTTCGCACCGATCTCCTTCTTCAGGCGCTTCGGGGAATCCAAGCGCTCCGCCCGGCAGCCGGTGGTGGGGAAGCCGGTGGTCGAGACTGAAACCGCTGAGGCGAAGCAAAGGAGAGAGAGAGGACCAAAGGGGTCTCCAAATAGAATGATGTTCACCATAGCCATGATCTTTCAAGACTTTTCGTAAGAGGGGAGGATCACTTTTCAATCTATTTGGGGGTTGGTATTGGGTAATTGCATCATTAGGGGTGATGAAAGGGAATGAAAGGCTTGAGGGCTGGGGATCCATTCTTGGTGAGCCACTTGCTTGACATGCTTTCGACTCTCCGAAGTCGAGACAGCTCCAGGGAGGCCAACAGTTCCCTCCAGGGTAAGATAACAGGACATGCGTCTAACATGGGTCCTCCGCACTTTGCTCCTAGTAGCTTCTTGTTACTAGTAGTAATGCCAGGAGCCCTAGTAGCGTCCTTGCTCCTAGTAGCGATGCCCTTTGTTCCTAGTAGCGTCCTTGCTGCATGCAGTTGAAGGTGGATCTCTTTTTGATCGATCCTTTGGCATCATTTGCCGCCCTCAGTGGGGAGCCGCAGGCCGGTGACGAAGACTCGCGGCTGGTGGCCCGGCCACCGACACCGGCGAAGGTGACGGTGCAGTGGCTTCAGGAGGGAAGAAACCTGGGGAAAAGAGGTGTAAAAGAGAGTGAACTGATGGTGAGGGCTGGGGAAAGATGAGTGAGTCCCAAAGATCCTCCAAAGATCTCGTTCTTGGATTCTACGCCACTCGAAAACGCCTGATCCAGTTTGCCAGCCACAGGTAACAGGCGCCTGAACCACCTGCTGTGCACAAGGCTTGATGTCCCTTAGACACACACACACACACACTCATTCAATCTGACTTTGAAAACTTTGGTTTACCTTGTGAAGAGGATTCTCCGAAAGTAGTTGTTGCAATAAACCCAGAAAATGAACGCAGGAATACGGTCAAAAGACATGATGTAGAAATAAAAGTGTATATATATATATATATATATGAATATACAGTGTATATATCCATATATCTATAAAGAACACCATAATAGTATTGCAATGTATAACATGAAACACCCTCCTTTCTTGTGGACGGCCAAATCCCTTCATGTTGCCACAACACGCACCTGCTTATGACCCGGTGTTCCGGTGTTGGTTTCGAGCATGCAGGTGGCACGAGCTTTTCCATGTTTGTCAACGACTGGCTGATCGTGCTCGTGGTTTGAGTTTTCGGTGGCTCGGGTTTCCCCTGCTGTCATTTCTACCAAGGAGGTCAAAGATGCACGTGATGCGGTTTGGGGTCATGTTGACCCTTCCAGAGTTCCCAAACGCAAGAAGCCAGAAAACATGTTCTTCACCCAGCGGGGATCGTACCGTCCCAGCCCCTTTCATAGGTCGTTTCGTTTCGTTTCGGGTTGCGCAACCGGCTCCTCGATCAACGACGTGCTCGTGCTTTGCAGGAGCACAGCGACTTTGTGCACTTCACCATGTCACCCCACATCGACCTCCTTCGCCAGGTCCGAGAGAAGAGAGAGCGCCCTTCGTCGGTGGATGGAAGAACTGGGGGGGGGTGAAGCAGGTTTGGGAGGTGGAGAAACCAGGTGGTGAATATCTCTCAAGGTGCCCCAGCCGATATCGGCCCGGCTGGGTACTTTTATCCACGCTTTGGACCAATCAGTCTTGCTTCATGTTCGTGATCAACCAACTGCGGTGTTTTGACCCATAGCCCTTAGCATCCCTTAGCCAAATGTTTGCATGAGGGGGTCCAGTACAGTTTGTGAACAAAGAATATCATAGGTGGGTTTTGCAATTCGAGGATGAAGAATGCCAAACACAGGTGGCAGTCCTAAGAAGATGGTTCTGTCGAACCAAAGAAAGGAACGGTTGCCCTTGGGTATGGTTTGATGAGTCACTTGAACCTTCTTTGGTTTGCTCTTGGTCGTGCAATTTTGAGTTTCTGACCTTGAGGAGAAATTTGCCGAGCTCAAAAAAGTGGTTCCTTCTCTTCGTCAAGAGAGCCTAGAGAGCGAAGTGAGTCTTGTACGAATGGCCGCCTCCTTTTCGAGTTGCCAGGCCGTGGACAGTTTGGGCTCCAGGCCAGCATCGGTGTCTGAGGGTGATGTGAAATGGATGGGAAACATGTTTGGAAGGCTTCGATAGAATCTCCAGGCCACGAACACCTACAGTCCTGCTGTAGCTGCCCCCATCCCTCGCTGAACGGCAGGTGCCCCCCCCAAAACCTCAAATCGATGCATTTTTCCTTTGTTTTTCAGCACCTCCCAAGGGTCCAATCAGAACGCTTTGAGGGAAGTGGTCGCTGCGCTTGAGCACCTACCGCTTTTGGCCTTGCTGGGTCGTTTGGGCGACCTCAACTGCCGAGGACCGGAATTCCTTGGTCCAGCTCCAATCGTTCCTGGTCCACCATCCAAGAAACGTATCCAAACGCTGAAGCTAGTCCCTTTGACTTTGACGTGACTCCCCAAAGACTCCCGGGACTACTACATGACTATTTTTCTCTGTATGTCTAGACCATTTTAGACCACTTGGAGCAACTCACTTTGTAATGTGGAATACAACTGGAGGACACAGTCGCCGTCGGCCGCTGCGCGACATGGTAGGTTCAACGCGAGTGGCCTGCCATTAGATGAGGCCCTAGGAGGTCATCAGGCCGGGTGGCTGTGTTTGGATGAGATGAGCCATGTGGTTAACCCAGGCGTTCGTCATTTCAATGTCAGTTGAGAACCATGGACATGAGAAGTCCCGCTGAAAGTGGCCGAGGCTTTCACCTGCTTGATATCAATAGGGTTTGGTGAAAGTGATCGCCCAAACTTCAGAAGTCTGGGACACACCAATCAAATCAACCAGAACTCAGCAAAGGATTGAGAAGGAGGAGCAAGCTCCCAATAGACAACTCTTGCTTGACTTGACAAAAGCTCAGCCTATCATGGACCATGAGTGCTCCTCCCATACATTGACAGTCAGCAATAGCTTGGCCAGCTCCTGATTCATGTTTCAAGGATTTTCAGGGTCCCCAAAGAAGCGCAAAAATTGTTTGATCAAACGCCATACAAACAAACACATGCAAAAAGGCATATCGTGTATATAATTGAGTGCACATTTCTGGATTCTAGCATTCTACGCCCATTCTACTAATATGGATTACCGTGTTATTCTCGTTACGTCTTTGCGTCACTGCCGCGAGCTGGGATAGTTCACAAGTCACTTCCACGAGCTGCAGGAGGATGCTGCTGAAGCCTTGCAGTGCTTCTTGTGCAACTTGCAGGTGCGGCGTGTTTCTTCGTGGAGCGGCGTCCCGCTGAGCCGGTGGCTCTTTTGGGGCCACTGAACTGGAATCGTCGGAACAGATGGGGTGATTCTCGGTGAATGAAGTGTTCATCGAGAATCCTACCAGGTCCTACCATTCACCTTGAATGATCAATCATCACCGAACAGATGGTGTTCAGTGCAATCTCGGCTGACGACTGGGGACTTGTTGGGATCAGCAAAACCACACGGACGACTCGTCCGGGACGCGGCAGGATTCAGAGCTCAACAGACCTCACCTGTTGGCACGCTTTTCGGAGGAAAATAATAACGAATCCTACTGAATCAGGGCTGGACAGCCACCGCCTACTCTAACAGAAAAGGGCCACATGATTCCAAGACATGTTGAGATTTGGTGAATTTCTCCAGAAGAAACTAAAATGCAGATGTGCAACTGATGCTGTATATTATATAGCATTCCTTTTGCTGGCTGTGGTCCCCCAAAGAAAGGTGCCTCTCTAGGTTGTCCCTTGTTGAGCACCATACACTCCCTGAAGTAATCATGGAAGTGGAAAACCACATTTGTCGAGGAACAAGGGGCTGTGCCATCCACTTCCATGATTATTTCAGGGAGTGTAACTCCATCATAACCCACCCACCAGGGCTGTTCTGCCAGGTGTGGGGGTCTTTGGCCCTCCGGGCCGGCAGACTCAGCGCCGCACAGTTCGGGAAGATCCCGGAGTCATCTTTGGGCGCTCTGCCATGCCACAACCGAACCCTCAGGATGATGAACATGCACAAACTAGGGATCATATTGCCAAACCTGATCTCACACAGACGCAAGCGACGTTGCTGGAAAAAGATCAACTGACAAGATGTTTGATGTTTCCTTTGACCTGCAGTGCTTGTCCCTCCTTTCCGCCCGCCAAAAGATCAACGAGGAGCCTTGCCACAGACTGCTCCATTGCCCATTCTCCTATATATATATAATAGTAATAATGATAATAATAGTAATAGTAATAATAATAGTAATATTATTAATAATAATAGTAATAATAACAATAATAATAATCATAATATATATATATATACATCCTATACAATAACACATCCAACTGGTTTCCCCATCGCAATCCCTCCGCCCAGCTTTTAAGGGCGCCTCGGGGGAGTTCAGCCCTATGCCGCGCACCGCCGTGGACGATGACCTGGAGCGGGCGGTGTTCACACGTCGATGTACCCAGCTGTCCAGAGAGGTACTGTCCAGAGAGGTGGTACTGGACAGTCCAAGAGAGGTGGTGAACCATCTCAGTTCCAAAGCTCTGAAGCCTCACGATCCAGGAGCTCTTCCTGGCCAGAGGTCTCAGTGGCGTGGAGCCCCAGGAGGTGAAGGAGGTGCGAATCGGTGTGATATTGATTGATGATGGCACTGGATTGATGGTCCACACCCAATTCTCTATGATGTTCTCGACGTCTGCGGCGGCAAGCAGGCGGGTCGCTGCTTGGTTTCTCGGGACAGTCAAGTCGTGTCCCTTCGCTGGCACCCCTGGTGCAGCCCCTGGTGCAGCCCCAGGTACCACGGCGTCCATGAGCGCGCGCTTGGCGAAAGTGGCCGAGCAGTTGACGCCGTCGAGGCGATGAAAGTTCCGTGTCGTTGGGCCAGACGAAGACAGCTGATGGACCGGGGAGCCAGCGTTGTGTTGGGATGACACATGACCCTAGAAGTTGAACCACCATTTATGTTTATAGCCTTTGCCGAACAACCATTTTTTCACTAAGCTAGATATTTTACACTACGAAAGCAGATCAACCATTTAAAAAGGTTTTAGACTTCCAGGGATGATATTAGAATATGCCACGATGCGGGGGGTTTCAGCAGTGTTTACGACCACTCGAAGTGCGCACGGCACGCTGTGGTTCCGTACTGCGCGCGCGCTGATCAAACTATTTCTTTCCGACAGCTTGAAGTTGCCAGCCACTATTCAGCCTGTGTGCAGATCAACCGCCACCCAGTTGGACACCTGCAACAGATCTCAAACCAGATCGTCCGTTTCAGTCCGACCAGGAATCGATTCCTTTCGTTTCCGCCGCGCTGATCCCCGCAGCACCGCTGCACACGCTCGTCTCACCCCGAGACCCGTGGTGACGGTGGACAAGCGGGTTCGCCTCGCACAGAGGATGTCCGACTACCATCGACAGCTGGCGCGAGTTGGAGTGGCCCGTGTGGGAGAGCCTGGAGCGAACGTCTGAGACGGGGTTTCAGTCCCAGACCTTCGAGGTTCGCGAGTGCCACCACACGTCATGTTCCGGTCGGATCTTGTGAGAAGGCGCAAGACACCTGAAATAATTCTCTGGCGCGGAGTGTCCGCATTCACCTCCAAGAGAGAACACCCTTTTTCCTCAAGAAATCACTCCAGCACCCGCCCTCGTGCTACGAGGTGCGTCGAGACTTCCGGCAGCAGCTCTCCGCGCTGCAGCGGAGTCTGGAGCGCCGGGGTGCAGAAGGGTATAGAAGATGCGAAGGTCCCTTCCTTTCATAATGTAGACTCTTTGAGGACCATAAACCCCCATATGAAGAAGGGCGCGTGCTGGAGACAGTCCGCAAGTCCGTGCATTCAAATGGAAGGGGTTATTGATCAAGAGTCTACATTAAGCTCTGTGAAGATCTTCACAGTCCACAGGTCCAGGTCCATCGGTGTTCGGTTTCGATCTGTTTCGATGTTTCACCAAGAGAACTCGATGTTTCACCGAGAGAAGCTGGTAGTGTCATTGAGAATATCTTCCACTTCCCCCTTTGGGGTTCCTGGATTGGGATCACCAGTTGGAAAAGCGGAAAAGCGATGATTGAGGATCCCATAGAACAGCCAGTGCGGCTGACACAACTAGAAAGCCGCTACTGGAAACCCTGGGAGCACTGTACACATGGTTGGAGTGTGAGATGGGGTAGTCCCATACCACACAAAAGCCGCACAGTGCAGGCAACATGGTACCAACCCCGAAAACACATGCCCACCGCAAAGGAAAACTCTCACGCAGCAGCTGGTAGTGAAAGAGATGAAGCTAGTAGCTTGACATCCTTAAACCAGGATGTTTCTCATCAGCCAAGATTTCTATTGCAACAGATCACGTCTAATTAGTCTTGATTGTGGAACCGACACCCTGCCTGTGACAGGGCGGCAGTTCGTGGAGCTTCACGGAGTCATGGCAGAGCACGCCGGTCTTTTTTGGTTCTGCAGTGAACCAACATCTCATGCTTGGAGTCACATCCATTGAGCTGCAGTCTCATCGCTTCAATGATCATCAACATGCACATGTCATGGCATACCACCCTGGCCTCCAAGAACGATCATCCCATCTATCATCTATCCATCTTCCCACTTGCCATCGATCTCCATCGCCACGACCTCTCTCCGTCGCCGTGCCATCTCTCCAGGATGCCTCTGTGGCGCAGGGCGACTGCCCACTGAGTGCGGCGGTCTTGACGCATCTCCGAGAGGTGGGTGTGACGGTCGGACGGTGTACAGTGTACGGGGGTTCTTCCAGGGGGACGGTGGGACGGTGGGTCGGTGAGCTGAAGGGCTCAGAGGTAGGTGGAGGCGAATGTAGACTCTTGATTAATAAACCCACCCCACTTGGGTGTTCATATGAGGGGGGGTTATTAATCAAGAGTGTACATTCCAGTGGCATCCCACTACAGTGGAGACAGTGGAACTTGTGAGAGCGGCCGACCGTGTCTCGGCGCAAGGTCTGGCCAGTCGATTTGCCTTACGAAGTCTGAAAACCACAAGGAATTAGTACATCGCGAGGAATTCATTTATATCATGTGCCATTCCAGGTGACTTGCACACCAGCACCGGTTCGTATTTTCAGAAGCTTTTCCACCTTATCCACCGGTTTCCGAGCGTGATGCATGTTCCTTGGAGGTGGAGAAGTTCATGACAGCCATCTACCGCTTCTTTAAATGCGTGGACATCAGTGGCCAAGGCGAGGTTTTGGGTCCTAGGTGTTGTGCTTGGCACATTTGCACGACACGTCCTCCTTCTGCGGTACGGTCCGGAGCGTTGGCCAATGCTAGCTCTTCCACTCCGGAGCGGGCAGGGGATCTGGAGCGACCGGATTCAGGTGCGGGTGCTGAGCATTGCTGGAAGACACTCAGCGCAAGCCCGTGCTTTTGAACGACCCTTTCGCTTGGAAATACCGTGTTTGGAGAAGATTCAACCTTGGGCGGCCATTTTGAGATGAACAAGCAGATGTTGTACGATGTTCACTTGCAAGTTCAGAGCACATAGACAGACGAACAATCTTCTTGTTATGCATCATCCCCGTTGGAGAAAATGCACAAAGATCGTTTGCTCATGAAATTGAGGCGAGGGCGTAGGGCCTGAGACCAAGGGCGGGGTTCAGTCTGATGAATCTCTTGCGGGCGTAGGGCCTGAGACCTTCTCTCTTGTGCCCTTAGAATCGCGACTCGCAAGTCTTCAAACCGAGTCTGTGCACACTTTCAGTTGTGCAGATGGTGCGAATGTGCATCTTGTGTGCATCTTGTGCATCACATCCCGGACCATGTCCCTTTTTGTCCGAACCGAGGCCGAACCGGAGCCCTACCGCTCTCATGGAGGTGCCCAATTGGGGTTGCATGACATGCGGGACCACAAAGGTCCGTTATTCTTTTTGCATTTAAGGCCTACCTATTATACATGGTTTTGGTCACATGTGGGCATCAGGCTGCCACACTTGCATGCTTTTACAATTTTACATGCAGCGTATGTGCAGGTTCTTTTCTTCTCAGGGCTTTGTGTAGTAGGTGGGAGCAAAACCACTGCTGCAGGTTGGAAGCGATGATTCTGAAGAGGGCCACTTGGGTACTCAACAGAGTTTGCATCGTTCCAACGATGGTTCCAGCAATGGTTCCGTGGATCGACGCAGGGGTGGAACAGGCCGTGGGCTGTTGGTCGGATTTTGGAGGGATCTCCCACCGAGCAGTTCATGGGCTTGAGCCATGGGCTTTTTTGGCGTTCCCCCACCGACCGTTTCCTGTTTGAGGTATCCAACCTGCACTCATGGGACGGTCCAAAACGGACGGTCCAGTCATGACGAGTTGCACATGCCCTTGACGAGTCATGACTTGGTTTTTGATTGGTGGCAGTTTTGATTTCGGGATGGGGTGATCGAGTGTAATTATAGCATGGAGCTTTATGCCTGTTTTGGGAAGGAGGACATCCGGGTCCGTTTCACAATCACCAGAACTGCGCGTGGCTCTCAACATCGAAAGCAGAAAGCGGAACATCGAAGCGTGTGTGGCTCCGAGGTGCACGGAAGGCAACCGGGCACGTCTCTTAGGAAAGAAGACGCTGGCCACAGTCTCTGGCCACGCCCCTGAACCTTGTGTCCGGGTGTTGTCCTCCTGTTGTCCTCTTCTTGTCCTCCAAATGTCCTTTGGCCGTGCTTCGGAACCCGCTGCCCTTCTCTTGTCCTCCTGTCTTCTGGCAGCGCTGGAAACCCCTACGCTGGCCAGTGTCCTCCTCTTGTTCCCAAAACAGTTTGCGTTCTGTTCTGTTGCCGCGCCTCCTTGTCCATGTCTGTGTGTCCTGCTTGGCCGGGCCTTGTTCGGGTCTGTCACGTTGTCGGCCCTTCTACCACCGCCTTGCCTGGGCCTTGTCCCCTGCATGCTTTGTGGTTGTATTTCTTCGGCCCGGAAAGTGTGCGTGCAGTAGGCATGCTGAAGTGCAGAACCGGCACGGTGGCATAGAATTTAATTGGTTTGCGCAGATATTTCTTATGAGGCTGTTGCATTGCAGCCTTGCAGCTAAACCAAGTTGCAAAAGATGATTCCACCGACCAGGAACAAGAAATCGCAAGACCACTTGGCCTACCCTTCTCCATCCTGATATCAAATCATAGCCCGACTTGAGAAAGCTTTTCAACTGATTCGAATGGGAGTGATGCTGCCTCTGTTCACACGAGAATGCCCAGGTGCTCGTGCCCATGTGCCAAAGCCCAGCATAGACCGCTCGTGGGCGGGCTATGTAGCTGGGGCGCTCAGAACGCCGCGGAAATCGGGTGGATAGACTGGATCGAGGTGCAAAGCCTCATAGTTATAGTTGTTATCGAAAAGCAAACATGTGGACTTGCAACTTGCAACGTTCTTGGGCATTTGAATCATACTTCTCATAAACTGGGACGGGTTTTCACCAGTCACCAGGCTTGGTCCAGTTCTCGGCCGGTCGGTTCAATCGGTCGAAGAGGCTCCCTTGAGACTGTGTCTCATTTTGTAAAACCAAGGGTCAGGGTAGAATGTCGGAGCATTGCAAGAAAGGTCTGGGTGCCCTGGTTCTTTGATCGATTCACCACCAATGTTGGGGCCCAAAAATGTATGTTTGGCTCGCGGCAAGCTCATGTGTCCATAGTTTTTGGAAGGGTTCCAACTTGCGACCAACGGTGAGTCTCAACTACCAAGCTGCAAAGGCGGCTATGGTGGTATGAGCCTCTTCAGCCACAACATAAGAACTGTTTTGCTCCAGGGGCAGGTGGATGAGGAGTATGAAGTGACAACCCTCCAGCCTCCAGTTCTTGGATGTTGATGGCTTCTGCTAGAACCTGACCCGAAGTCAGATTCCAACAAGTGGCACTGGGGCACCTGAGCTTTGCTTGCCAAACCTGGGACCTTGTTTTGGCATGATCTCGACTTTGCTTTGGATTTCATGAGTTGTTGGACCTGTTGGTATGCCTCCCGAGGCATGCCTCAACTGTGGTCCGGGGCCTCGTGTTCTTGAGGGTGGGCCCGTGTTGGGTGGGTGAGTCCTGAAAAAGCCGCAAGGGCCGGGAAGACTCTGATCGACCTGCTGGTTGTGAAGGGTTGGTCGTTAGCAGCTAGCATGTCATCCCATGTCTACGACTACCGTTGATGTCTACGACTACGACTGCCGCAGAAGTCTTCTTGGGGAGTCCTGCACGCGCAGCGCGTGCAGGCCACGTTGTGAGGCCACGGGCCTCGCCACGTTCGCATCCACCATTCGGTTTTCGGTTTTCGGGCGAGGGATCTTCCGATGATTCTGGAAAGCTTGGGGATTGGCATATGATAATTTTCAGGTCTCGCCGTGGAGAATGATGTGGCACCTGTGAGGTGCCATTTATTTCAGCATTGGCTCATTGACTTCACGTCGTTTTTTCATATTTTTTTTTTCACTGGATTTGGCACTTATCGCCTTGGCGGCAAACTTTGTACTTGTTTTCTTCCCACATCACCAGCTTCCTGGGTGTGGCACCAGTGTTTCCCACACCCTCCTCTCACCGCATTCCGAGGTCATAATGGCGTTCTGAGCGAGGGAGAGGCACCGCGGGGCCTTTTGGGATGGTGTCTTTTTCGGTCACCATCAGGTGACTTTCGTCCCAAGCCACATGACACCCAGGAAACACCTGTCTTCCCACGAAATCTGGGCGTTTGCAGCCACGCCCAGAGGAGCTTAAAGCATGAAAATTCGACCTTACGCCTTTCTAGAGTCATTGGAACTGCTCCATGCCACCTAAATTGCTGTATGTTTCATTTGATGTTTTCTTTTAGGACAGAGACGGAGTGCGTGCCATCGCATGATTGTTGTGGGATTTGACTTGTTTGCCCTGTAGCACATCCACTTCATGCCAAGGCACAGCATTTGGCCCTCCACTTGCGCCCCTTGGCACAAGCTCTGGAAACACGTCTGTCACTGGCGGTGTTTCATGCGACACTGGCGAGACCCACACACCCTTGTCGTTCCAGCATTCTGATTGATTTTATATGACGGATGCGGAAACAGATGTTTGCAATCCAGATGGTTACAGAACTGACTGCAGTTCTTTTGAAGGGCGACGAAAGCCACGGCTTGTTGGTCCATATTTTATGTCTTTGTGGAACCGATCTTACAAACAGACTGTACTTGTACAACATAGTTTTTCTTTTTTTCCACTTGGCATATCATGTAAATGTATATAGATAGTATATGATAGCATACAACCATTTGGCCAAAGACCTGATCTTGCAAAAACGGTTTCTGTAAGAACGGAGTCCCTGTCAGGACATCTGGACCTCCAAAAACAGGCGAAACTGGCCTTGTCTTTCACACCGAAGCCACGTGGTGGACACTCCACGCCGAGCGACTCCACGCTTTGGACCTTGGTCGCCCCCAAGGCACGGCCCAGTTCGGCAAGTATGCGCCCTCGGAGGATCACGTGTAAGGCGGTATGCGCCTCCGGAGCGCCTCCGTCAGCGGTAGGCTTTCCGAAGGTGGAGGGGGTTGTTCCATGTTGTTCCTTTTTCCATGATTGTTGGATGGAGGGTAAACCTTGAGTTGAACACCTTAGATGTTTGTGTTTGTGCGGTTGGGCTCAATTTTCATAGAGAAAACCCGATGATAGGGGGTCCATTTTTTCTGCGGGCTGGGATAGGCCTCAAGATAGATCCCATCGGCGATTCTCAATTGCATTTGATTGCCGGGGACTGACATTCTGTTGAAGTCTCTTGGGCATGCGTCTGGAACGATGCTTGGGGATCGATTGGAATTCGCAGGCTAGAACTTTCGTCAGTTGGCTGGGTGGTCGTTGGGCAGCTTGAACATGGACTTGTGAAACTCGTTGGGCAGCTTCACTAGCCAATCAGCCCACTCTTTTGCGAGCCCGTTCGCATAATTGATGCCATCACCAAAACATGTGTCCATTTGACAAAGGAGGTTTACGCTTGGGTTTTCATCCACAGCCTTCAGCACTTCCTACTCGTATCTTTGGTTAGTTTGTCCAAGCTAACTACGGTGATTTCAGAGAACCAGTAACATGTAAGCACATGGTCACAGAGATACCTATTTTTTGAGGGACTGAAGATCTTGAACTTTGATGTTGGAGGTGGTCGTCAACCGTGTGAGCTGCATGCCGACGTTCCTACACTGCCGGGGCATGGTGTGAAAAGGCCACAAGAGCAAAGACAATCAAGAACATCATCAGCAGCAAGATAGCTCCGATGGCAATCCAAAGGGAAAGAAGTCATCAAATTAGATGCGTTGGATTCACTGCCCCTGATTTTCACTGATCCAATTTACTGCTGTTCCTGGCTGGTGTGTTCAGTCGCGAGATCCGGGCAGGCCTCGTTGGTTGTGTTGGATGCGAGATCTTCTTGTGGCCACAGTCACTGTGTCCGGCCGTTGAAGACAAGTGCTCTCCTGTCTTCTTGCTTTGTTCAAAGCACAGCTTGTTGAAATGTATCTTTGCAGTGTGTTAGGCGGGTGGGTGACTACAGATCGGCGGTCAGGCCTCATTCTCAGTCATACCTACCATGATTTGTTACTATGACTGCCCTCAGACTCAGATACTTTCCTTTCCCTTTAGAGGTCTGTCGTCGATCGCATCTGCCCAGCGACTCGGGCCTTGGTCTGGTGGAGTGTGTCTCGGAATGCCTCCGGCCAGGGAAATCCACGCGAAATCCACGCGGGTTGGTCGAGTTCCTTGCAAAGCTTTGTGCTAGGAGCTAACGGTGGAGTTCGATGATGTTCGATGGAAAAACATGGTGTTCTGGTGATCACCCGTTTGTCAAAACCCATTGTCTGGAGGGAGATTCCTTCCACTCCACCAGAGATCCACTGACATTCCTGGCCATGTTTCGAAAAAGAGGAGCAGCGGCGGTGGCGGGAATGGTTTGTTGAAATCGAAGAGATTCGAAACGAAAAAGGAGGGTTGTACCGGGCTGCTACCCCCGTTCTGGTTTGAAATAGAGAATGACATGCCTGTGCCAACCGGACCGGTAGGTGACAAGTGATTTTTCTCGCCACTGACTTGAGAGCAGCAGTTGCACTCACTTCCAACCACAACTTCCTAGAAGAAGAAGCTCAGTTCTGGCGAGCCGTTTGTGAAACCTCACTTACATCTGGTAGATATCTGAGGTGTATTCGCCGACCAAAGCAGCCCTCCGTTCTTCGTGTCCAACGAGAGTTTCCTGCAGCTTTCGCTCGGCTCTCTCGGCTCTTGGGTCTTCGACCGAGCCGTTGACCGTCGACCGAACGCATCGGCGGTTCTGGGCGGATCGATGCGAAAGCGGAAACCCGGTGGATTTTTCGGTGATCGCTTGGGGTTCCTGAAGGGGCTTCACTGATCGTTCTGCAGAAATCAATGCCGGTAGTTAGACAAACAACAAAACAAGCTGACTCCCAACTCCCGACCATCTAATCTCGGTGCCGTAGCTGGCGTAACCTCTTTTTGGCCAGGGACGCCGCGGGCAGCAGGCGCGACAGCTTCACCGGTGGCTACAGCTGATCAGACGAAGGTCAACAAGTTCCCCTTCCCAGCGGATTTCTTCCGGAAAAAGGAACACCTGAAAAGCGTTTCAACGTTTGCTGATGACGAACATGTTTTGGACTTGGATGACTTTGGTCTGAAAGGTCCGGTCCAACGTAAAAAGAGCCGTTCAGCGAAGCTTTGGGTTCGAGTGAAAGAAACGCCCCTTGTTTTTCACCCCCAAGAAGGGCTTCGATCGGAGCTACAAACATGACTTGGTCATCGGACCCAGCTGGCCGCCATGGCAGGTCAGGTTTGCGGGAGCGGTCGCCCGCACCCGCGGTCAGGCCTGACAAGGCCAGGTTGGTCCGAGGTGTTTCCGCAGAAAAAGATTGGTTGCTGGGTTTGGAAGACATTTGTTTCAGAGTTGGACATGACAATAGAGTTGGACATGACAATGTTGTGCTGTTGAGTCAAGGACATTTCTTTGGGAAGAGGAGCTCAGTGATCAACTCGGTGAGACCTTCTTGGAGAAAGGATTCTTCCAAGTTTCCGAGGTTTTACTCACGACTGAGTCTTGGAGGAGTCAACGCCATTATCACAAATGATGTAACTCAGCTATATCAGTTATGATATCCCCCAAGGTATATATATATATATGATATCAGCTATATATCCCCATATATATATACTGTATATATACACTGACGCACATATATATATATACATACATCAGCTATGATATCCGATATCCCCCAAAGCTTGTTGTTTTTTTTTAAACATCAGCACCTCGGAGTTTCACTTCTCAGCTTCCCCTCTCAGGTTCAGATCAGGATCCTGGTTCCAACGTGTCCAGTGGATGCTGCAAAATGAAAAACACTTTTTTTTGGTGAACCCCAAAGAGAGGCCATTCCTGGAGTGTCACAAGTTCCAAGGTGGCAGCCTTGTGCGGTGTGCCCCTCTCACACTCTCCCTCTCTCTCTCTCTCTCTTTGTATGTTGACATTGAGGCAATCATTGGGACATGGATTGATTGGTATGGCCAAGGGCCTTCGGAAGATCCGCCATCTTCTTTCTGGGTGCTGGCTTCACCGCTCCCGCGAACGGTGGTTGAGTTGTTTGTTCGCCCCCAACGGTGTTCCTTTCCACCCAAGGCACATGTCGCAGACTGGCCCGATTAGCTTTGGGACCTCACTGCCCCTTCCACAGCTTCGCAGTGCTTCACAGCTGGAGGCACCTCCTGCGAAGCCCAAGCTTGGATGCCCCAGATGAACTGGCGAGTGCCAGAACAAAGTCCTTGCAGGTCAGAGTGACTTTTCCGGGGGGCAAGAAACAGCTAATGTGTAGGGAGGCTCCTGTATTTTGGACAGATTTCCATGCATACTCTCAATGTTGAAGTTTCGGCTTGATAAAGGGCCATTGATTGAGTCCGTGCACAAGCAATCCAAATTCCAAGGTAGATGGCCTAGACAGCATATGACAGCATGTCAGTTGCTGGTTTCTTTCTTTGGGGAGGTTGTGGTCAGGTCAACCTGAATCTTCCGTGGTCGATTTCGCCATCCGCTTGGGAATCTGACAACCTCAAACATTCAGAACAAGTCGCTGCAACCGTATATAGACTGATCGAGGTTTTCGATTAGGCTTGTGAGGCGAAAATGCCTGTGAACCCGTAGCAGTTCTTTCAGTTCTCTCGGCGAGAACAGCATTTGGTCATTCCAACATCTACAGCAGCATAGTTGACCAATTCACATAATTCACCCATTCTGAAACCGGTGTAAGACAAGCATGCGAACCACAACTACAGTACTTCACTTCGCACTTCGTTTTCCTCAACAGGTGTTTCCACACAGCGGGACCGGGGCCGGGCGCCTGGCCGGTCGCGTTTCGCCACCGCTTTCCTCGGGCCAAACAGATGCCTGTGAGGCAAACTTTTCCACTGCAAACGGGCCTCTGGGTGCTGATCATCTTTACCGTTTGTGCCGGGGCGCCCCAGTTCAGCCTCTAAAGCAGCAGCTGTTTTCCTTGAGATCTTTTTCCCCAAACAGTTTACTGTTAGGGGTTCTCAATGCTTTAAAGAATGGTCGCCTTGGTGCTGGATGGTCTGGTCGGGTTCCCGGCCGGCTTGTCTCCCACTTCCTTTCATTTGTCTCCGACTTCTTTTCATTTGTCTCCCAGTTCTTTTCATTTGTCTCCCAGGCTGGGTGCTTGTGGTCGGGTTCCCGGCTGGCTTGTCTCCCACTTCCTTTCATTTGTCTCCCAGTTCTTTTCTTTTGTCTCCCAGGCTGGGTGC